GAAGCTCTTATCCCCAAGGTTTCCAAATGAGGCCACAGGTGCTGCCGGACCCATCGGTCCCCGGTACCCGGGACAGTGAGTGAACTGTGCTCAGTGGGCTCATCGCCGCCAGGGTCGGCTCTGCCACAGCCTGCTGGGTTTTATTCCATGTGGCAGGTTTAGGTGGCCTCCGTGAAGCCTCGCATCTTGGCATTGTTATGGGCTGAACTATGCCCCCCGCCCAAATTCTTATGTAGAAGTCTTAACCCCTAGTATCTCAGAATATAACTGTATTTAGAAATTGGATCCTTTTGAGGAACAAGTATGAAAGACACAGAGATGAGGACTGGGGGTGGGGGGGGGGAATGGGAGGGAGGGGGGAGACCGGGCGGGGGGGGGGGGAAGGGAAAAAAATGTACTTGAAAAGTAACTAAATAAAATTTAAAAAAAAAAAAAAAAGAAAAAAGAAATTGGATCTTTAACAAAGGCAACTGGGCCCTAAAACAACACTCGTGTCATTACGAGATTAAGATAAGGCACATACAGAAAGAAGGCCACCTGAAGCCCTGGCTGGTATAGCTCAGTGGATTGAGGGTGGGCCTGCGAACCAGACATTCGGGGTTCGATTCCCAGTCAGGGCACATGCCTGGGTTGCAGGCTGGTTCCCTGCAGGCCAGTTCCCAGCAGGGGGACACACAAAAGGCAACCATACATTAATGTTTCTCTCCCTCTCTCCTTCCCTTCCCCTCTAAAGATAAATAAATAAAATCTTTAAAAAGAAAAAGAAAGAAGGCCACCTGAAGACAGAGGAATAAGCTGACCAATCTACAAGTCTTCCTTCATGGCCCTCAGAAGAACAAACCCCGAATACCTTGATCTCAGTCTTCCAGCATCCAGAACCCCGAGAATGAATGTGTTTAGGCCACCCACGGTGGCACCGTGTTATGGCAGCCCTAGAAGATTAATGCAGGCTGGAGGCAGGTAGCTGGGCCCCACTGACTGACGAGCATCTGCTTATGTATTCTGCAACTATGTTCTTCAGGCTGAGGTCCTCTTTTCCTAATTGACTTAGAAAGGAGAGAACAGAGGGTGCTGGAGGTCAAAAGCTCCCTCCCAGCCACACTAGGAGGCGCCCTGCAACCAGACTCCAGACATGTCTGCCGTGGAGTCTGTGCACACACTGGCTGCCTCTGAGAGGCCACCAGGGTGCCCTGGTCAGACGGGCAGTCCGAGGCCCTGAAGCTCAGTAAGCTGTCCAAATAAACACATCACGATTCTCTACACGCCGCACCCCGCCCAAGTCTTGCCTGCTACTCACCAAACTAAAGTACCTTAAAATGAGCAAGGATGCCTTAACCCAGAGGGCTGGATCTTTGTGGCACCTCACAAAGGTAAAGGCAGCCAAGGCCACAGGTCGGTGTGACCTGCAGAGAGCCCACGCCAACCAACTCCATGGCATCGACCCTGAAGAGAAACGTGCAGTCACCAGACGCCTATCTCCCTGGATGCCAGGAAACTGCACCAGCTGGTCAACTCAGTGGAACGATGCTGCTCAAGGCTACAAAGAAACCACAAAAAAGGAATGATCCTGGGAAGCGACGAACAGACACCTGACACAGTGTGACTTAGGATAAGTCACTTTATTTTCTCTGACCTTCTGTTTTCTCACCTGGGAGGTATTAACAGGTACTCTATGTTGAGTTTATAATGCACAAGGTGCTGAGCTGGCTGCTGCACACACATAACTCACCTGACCTCGGGAACGAGCCTGTGGCATGGGCTTTATCCCTGTGCTGAGACCTCCCTCCGCAAGGACCACAGGTTGGATGGAATGCAGGGAGCCGACAGCCTCCAGATGCCACCTTTGAGACCTACCACAGTAGTCACCCCAAGGCCACTCTCCCCAGGCACTCCAGCCAGTGACCGACTAGAGCAGAGGTACTAGGGCCAGGCCATTTCTGCCCCACACTATACTCTTCAGTCTTGGCATCTATACCACACAGGATCAAAAACAGCACCATCCCCATTTCACAGACGAAAAGACTGAGGTGATTAACATACCCGAGGTCATTTAAGATTCAAACCAACATCTGACTACAAAATCTCAGCTCTTAACTGATGGTTAAAGGACAAAGGAGAAAGTATGTTGATACTTTTTAATGCCATACTGATCCATGTGATTTTAGCAAAAGGCAAAATAGTGCCAAGGGAAGAACACCATTATCAGGAAGCTGCTCCAACATTTATTAGCAGGTGACACTCAGTAGATGAGTCCTTTAATCTTATTCTTCCTGTTTTACAGGTAACAAAACTTGCACGGAGCCCACTCACCTACAATCAAAGGCAGTTCCTATAATCAGACGAGACTTAGCCCCTGCCCCCAAGAAAAATGGCAAATAAACGCAGTAAGTGAACAGAAGATTCTACTAACTACAAAGTATTATACAAACACGTGGAGGCAAATGGATAATGGCCCAAACCTGAAGGATTCTAACGAAGGAAACGGTACTACTTCTCTTAAACAGGTCCCCCAAATATGGGCGAAAATGGTTATGGAATTAAGAAACAAAGGACAAGTTAAATATTCCAACATTCCAAATGGCTTACTCATGCTCACATCCCTGCACCTGTAACAGTCTCCAGCACGCATCAGGCACTCCCTAAATAACTGTTCAATGAGAACAACCTCGAAAAGACTTTCAATCACCACTTTCTATTCTCCAAGATAAGGGCACGAGCTTTCCCCACGACACCAGGTACAGAGCAAGGTACCTGGCAGTTCATGTTGTCTTCCGCCTCGATGAGCTTCCCGCGATACACCTCGCCAGTGTTGGTCTCACATGTCACAATGTGACCTTCAGCTTCGTGCAGGACTTTAATCGGCACACCAATAGACATCTTGGCAGGAAGAGAGTTCTACAGTGAGAAAGACAACAGTCAGTTCACCTTTCAGAGACTGAGGAGGCATGTGGCAGACACCATGCCTCCCTCAAGGCCTGACACGCCATCTCCCTCTCTGCTACCATATGTCATTTTATCTTCATCAAATAACCAATTGTGTGTGTGTCTGAGGAGTGAGAATTGTAATACATGTACCTTATAATGTATTGTCAACCCATAGTTGTGGGTAACACCCTCTGGGAATGCACAATATATAGACCTGGGCTGTCCAATACAGCAGCCACTGTCCATACGGAACTATTAAAAGTGAAACAGAATTTAAAAATTAAGTGCCTCAGTGACACTAAACACGAAGTTTCAAGTGCTCGACCACCACATGTGGCTACGCTGGGCGTACATAGAGTATTGATCATTGCTGATATAAACAAAGGATCCAGGCAAATCCAGAAGGGATTGTGCATTTAATTCAACCCCTTCAATGCCCTTTGACCCTCCACTTTACCATCAAGGCTAAAAAGAAAACATCCAAATGTTCACAAAGTGATAATGTGCCCCAAGTGAGAAATGCTCACCTTGGGAGGAAAAACAAAATCACAGGGCAAGTGCCCTGCAACCGAATTTTTTAAAAAGTGGACTTTTTTTTTATTCCGAAATGAGCAAAGACTGAAGGTTGGAACCCATCGTGTGCGTTCAAGGGAGGAAAGGAAACGTGAGGTTGGAAAAGACAGGCTTCCTTGATGAGAAGTCTTAGACATCCGAGTTTTACGCTGAAGGCAATGGGGAACCACTGCAAGACTATAGGTAAGAACAATCCAATGAAAGGCAACAGCACTTAGAAAACGGATCTAACAGTTGAGAAGCAGGGAAACTTGATAAAACTTCAGGAACAGTGTGGAAAGCATGAGGCGCTAATGCCTGGAAGGGGGAAGGAAGGAGGAAAGATGCAAGGAAGTTTTACAGGGATTCCCCAGGTAGTATTCAGGGGATGGAGGCAGCCAGCCAGAAATGACTTCAGTGGCCTGCATACTTCCAAAAACACTGGCCCGGAGAGGAATAGAAAATGAAGAGTATGTACTTCGGGGTAAAGCTAATAAACTCACTTCCAAGCTCTAGGTAGGCGCCTCTGAGGTTTGGGTGGCCCGGGTTTCCCGCTCTTCTCCCTCCCCGAGCCCTGCAGAGTTCCACAGTAGTGCGTCCTTCTCAAGCCCTAGGTCCCTTACGGATGCCTCGGCCTACCCTCCCCTGCCCTGGGCCTCTTCTCACCGGCTCCGGCCTCCTCTTCCTTCCTGGTGCGGCAGCGGTGGAAGCAACCCAAGTTACTGCGAGGGCGTGAGACAAGCGAATGGCGGTACCGTTCTCCCAGAGTACCACGCGTTCCCAAGATTCCGCGCGCAGAGCCCGTCCCCTTCCTTTCTTGGTACTGAGCGCGGTCTCACCTCCGCTTCCTCATCACCCCGCCGGGTGGGAAACGTGGGCTCTGATGCGATCGTTCCGGCCCCGGAACAGAGGGCTAATAACGGGGTCCGGGTGCCGCCGGAAATATCGACCCTCAGGCCGGCGAGCGGAGGGGAGATCGCATTTCCAAGCACCCCACAGCAGGGTCGCATTTCCAAGCACCCCAAGCACCAGAAGGCAGGGATTGTGAGGCTTGAGCCCGCGGATCGGGGGTGGCAGGCTGCGAGGCCGAAGGCTAGGACCCCCTTCATAACTTAACCTTTGGAACCCGGCACCGCCAGGTAAGGGGCGCCCTGAGCGAGGCGAGGCATTTCACTGTACGGATAGGGAAAGTAAGGTGTAGAGTGGGGGAAGGGGGTTGTCCCTAAAGGGATTTGGAGTAGGGTTAAGTCTTCTGGAGTCCCGCGGTGCCCGAGACGGGAGAAGGGCTTGGACTTGAGGCTGACGAGGAGGCGGGGCCTAGACGTAGCTGAGCAGCGAAGGGGTAGAGCCTCTGGGGAGCCAATGTTCGCGGAACCACTGGGCTTCGGGGCGGGACTCAGGGAGGGGGCGGGGCTTCCAGGGAACGGAGGCGGAGCAGAGCTCGCAAGTCAGCGTGAGGATTGGGACGGGGTGGGGACACCAGAAGGCGAGACTGCGAAATGCCCGGGAGAGCTTAGACCTGGTGCCTGGGCCCTATAGAAATTGGAGTCTGGAGAAGGCAAAGGGAGGGGGATATTTGGAGGCCCAGGGAAGGGGCGGGGCCTAGGGAAGAGGCGGGGTCCAGGGATAGGAGGCCTGGAAGGGCCGGGGCGGGGCTTGGGGCGGTCCAGCTGCGGTCTCCCGTACTCCCCACCGTGGTGGTGGTGGCGGCCGAGGAGCAAAACACGTACCGGCTCCGTTCCCGCCCCCGTCGAAGCCGAAGCTGCAGCCGGCGCCAGACTGGGGCCATGGGCGCCCCGCGCCGCCCGGGTCATGAGGACGGAGGCGGAGGCAGCGGGGTCGCCGCTCGAGCTGGGTTAGTGCCACCCTGAGGGCCCAGCCCTCATCCCGGGGAACGTGGGGGATCCCGCCCTAGCGCGGGGCAGGGTCTGGCCGCGCGACCTTGGGCCGACCGCCGCCTCCAGAGGAGCTATAGAGCTTAGAGCGAAACTTGGCCAGGTGAAACACAGACGCCTTGGCCTCCCAGCTCCCAGCCTGGGTGTGTTGGGTGTTCCTGACACTCCCAGGGCTGAGACCTCAGTTAGCTCCAATAGAGGTCATGGTAGGGGGGTCCCAGGTTGTGAGGCAGGGGCTCCACCTCCCCTAGAAGCGAAAGGTCCTGCTGGAGCCGCCCTGGGAAATGCTGACCCCTGGGGAACTGAGGCCTAAAGCACAAGGAACTGCCAAGAGCACAGAGCAGTGGCAGGGCGCTTCCTCTGGCCTCCCAGACTGTTTCATCTTGTTCAGTTCTTCACCCTCTGGTTCCTTCTGCTTCTGAGTACCTTTGGTGCAAAAACCAAGGCTGGCACTCAGTGTCATGATTCTAAGAAGGGAAGGGGAGAAGTAGTGACTTCTGTTCTGCTTAAGGCACAGGGTTGATGAGAAAGTGCTAGGACTAGAAAACTCTGCAGTGGAGAGGTCAAGAGCATGTGGGACCCTCCACTAAGGCATCAGTGTGACCTTAGTGTCACACCCTTAGTGTCTGCAGCAAGGAGTTGGGCCTGATGCTATCCTGGGGTTTCCATCCGACTCCCCCAACTCTGTGATCTTGAACCAGGTACGTGCTTTTCCTGAACCTCAGTGTGGTAATGGCTCACCTTTACAGGGAGCTTTCTCTGAGGAGGCATTGTGCTAAGCTGTGTACACGCAGTGGCTCATTAATCTTCCTAACGACCTAGTGCCGAAGGTTACCATTGTTATTTTCACTTTTACAGATGAGCTGACTGAGGCTGAGAGATGTTAAGTATTCAGGGCCAGGGAGCTGCCTTCCTTCCTTGGTGATAGCTGCCAACTGAAGCCAGCCAAGGCCTTCTAGGCAGGCCCTAGCTCTCAGGTGGGACAGTCCCTCTGCTCCAAGCATCAACAATTAACAGTGGCATTGGGCTTGGAAGACCTCGCCTACCCTTATCATCCCCTGCAGGAGTATCTTGGTCCCTAGGGGCTGACCTGCTGGTGCCAAGACTGGTGATGTGTAGCACTTTGGGGCCTCAGGATTACGGGACTCCAAGGATCAGGGCAAGAAGAGGAGGGACAACAGAGTTCAAAGCAGCTGTCCTGTGCCACATTTACAGCCGGGCATAGGAGAAAGCACAGACAGACTCAAAGCCCAGCTGAAAACGGTCCAGCCAGTTAATACCAGAGCCCAGCCTGCAGAGTGAGGAGGGGGCCTTGCACAGAGAGAGGGCTGTGTCTGGAAGCCTGGGGGTGGGGGTGCCGGGCATTGCAGTGACAGGCAGGCCCGGGGCATCTCAAGGGATATGGCCTTTGAGAAAATCACCTTTCACTCACCAAGCATGTCTGAGGGCCTGTTCTGGACTGAGTGCTAGGAGGGCGTAAATACCACCTTGTCCCCACCTGCCAGTGAGGAATTCTCCGTCTGTCCAGTGGAGAAGTCAGACCACCTCAAACACTGCATATTGAGGGGCTCAGAGAGGGAGGGGGTCCAGAGCATTTGGACATTCAGAGAAGGGAGACAGCATCCCAGACTAAGGGATATACAAGAGCAAAGTCTGGGTAGTAGCAGCCTGTGTAAAGAAAAACAAAAGGCAGTTTATGGCCACAGTGAGGAGTTCTTGACAAGGGAGGCATGCGGCCATGAGGGGACAACACCCTGTGTAGAGCCCTCCCTCCACTCAGTCCAGCTGGGGGGAATGCCTTTAGATTATGGATTCTGGGAGGGCAGGGCCTGGGTGTTAGTCACTGCTGTACTCGGAGCCTAGCATACAGTGGGCACTTAGTGTGTTCCTTTCTTCCAACAAATGTTTATTGAGTTGCTACTAAGCACCAGACACCAGGCACTGGGAGTAACAGTGAACAAGTCAGCAAATTCTTTGCCTTCAGGAAGTTTACAGTCTAGTCAGGAGACAGAATAACATTATTATTGTTGTTGTTGTTGTTGTTGTTGTTGTTGCTATTGTTCACGCCAGCACCCAAAAGGGGCTATACACACATTCTTGCCCTGAGCGCTCACAGCACTTTGCAAACTGGCATCTATGATGGTCCGTTTCATAGAGGAGGAAGCAGGCACAGATAGGTCCAGCGCCTTGAGGTCACTCAGCCAGCAGGCGGCCTGCACTTGCCCATGCCGTGCTGCCTTCCATGCTGCTGCACACCCTTGGAGAAGGGGAGTGTGGGGAGAGAGGCCAGTCCAATGCAGCAAAGGAGCAGTCACGTGACCCTGCCACCTGGGAATGTGCAACAGCACAGAAGAGCTCAGATAAACTCCACACAAGGGTCCCCTGTGTGAGGCAGAGCGTGAGTTCAGGTCTGGTGGGAATCTAGAAAAAGGGGAGAATGTGGCCAGCCTGGGTTCAGGGAAGGCCCTGGAAGTGGTGGCACCTGTGCTGGGGAGGCTTTACATGCAGAGTAGGAGCTTCAAACCCTCTCTGGGCAAGGAACTGCCCAGATGAGGCCGGCAGGTAAGGTGGCAGGACAGACCCTGGGGCTAGTGAGTGGCCCTCCTGATTGGTGCGTGCCATGAGAGCCAGGGCTGGCACGGCAGGCAGACCCCAGGGGGGGCAGCTCTGCACAGGCTGGTCTTGGGTCCCAGAGAGACCCCTGAGATGAGGAAACAAGACAGGCTGGGTTTTTGTGTGCGGAATGGGTGTCACCAATGAGCCTCGAGCAGGGGCGACAGCTGGAGGGAGGTACCTCCTGGCTCGTTAGACTCTGAACTTGGTCCAGACTGAGGAAAGCCAGAATGGGAGAGTTCTGTGAGCTGGCGCCAGCTCACCCCCGCCTCAGGGCCTCCACGCATGCTCTCCCCGCGTGGCCCTGTGGTTCCTGATGCTGTGCTCTCTAGGTTGTGCCCCCACCACTTCCCTGGCCTGGCCCCATGCTCTTCTCTCACACACACTCACCTGTGCTGTCCACCAGGACAGGGCCCGGCACCAACCGCTGTATCTGTAGTAAACTGCTGGGCACTCGCTAGGTGCTTAGGAAATATTTGTTGATTGAATGAGTGGATCAGACCAAAGTCCCCTCTTTAGAGGTGGCCAGACTCAGACCAGCAAGAGGAAGTCAGTTTCTCAGTCTGCAGCCAGCCGGTGGCTGAGCCCGGGCAGGAACGCCTAGGTCGGGCCCTTTCTGCCCCACCTCACTGCTTGGCAAGGACAGACTGAGGGGTCACCCAGAGTAGCATTCCGCATACACAGATTACATGGCAGTCCCCTTCCCTTAACTGTGGTCTTCACACCTTGGTGGCCCTGGGGGCTTTGAAGTCAGACAAACCTCCAGGGGCCTCGTGAATACAGACATGAATAGCTGCTCTGTGCCTTTCATGAGCTGGCCCTGTTGCTGCCTCCTCCAAGCTCCCACCAAAAAAGAGGGCTCGGAGCAAGAGAGGCCTGTGGGACGGTAAGCGCACACAGTGGGGGGCTGGGTGGACAGACGCACCGTCATGAAGAAGCGAGAGGAGGGAGCTCAGGCTCCTAGGAGGCCAGGAGAGTCCAGGCAGAGGGAGCCGCATGACAGGGAAGCCCTGCCTGCAGGGCGGCCTGGGGAGGACAGGTGCAGGTGAGGCGGCTGAGGCTGCTGGGGCAGCAGCCATGGCAGCATTGTCCTAAGAGACGTGCAGACCAACCACTGGAGGAGGCCCCTGTGTGCGGCTGACCCGCTCCAACTGGGGCCTGGGGAGGTCACCGCTGTTGGAAGGAGAATGGAGTGGGAGCCAGAAAAGGCCCCCGCAGGATCTGGGTGGGGGCCAATGCCAGAGGTTCCAGTGGGGGCAGCAGTGGCAGGCACTGTGCCAAGGATCTGTGACCGCCCTGTGTTTCCACGCAGGGGACTTTGTGCAGCTGCCCGTGCCTGTCATCCAGCAGCTCTACCACTGGGACTGTGGCCTGGCCTGCTCCAGGATGGTGCTGCGGTGAGTGGGCGGGTCGAGGTTTCGCCTTCCACACCACATGCTCTGGCTGCGGGAAGACACAGGGAGAAACCTGGGTGGGATTCATCACTCATGTGGTCGTCCTTGGTCGGGGCTTGTGGGAGGCCCAGCTTCCATTGAGGCTCACTGCCATCTGCAAAAGCAAAATCGGTAGGACCAGGACTTCCAGGGGCCCCCTCTGGGAATGCCTGGGACCCTGGGGATGGCCAGGGAAGTCCTTGGTGCCCAGGCCTGGCCCAGAGAGTGACCCCATGGCTGGGACACAGGACCTCCCACCTTCTGGCCTCAGGCTCCTGGGAGACTGGGTCACTGGGGAGCCAGCCACTGAATTGAGGCTGCGTGAACATCACTGGAACTTTGACCCTCGGGGCCTGGAGGACCATGGCCATCCCCTTATAGGAGGAGTTTTCAGGTGGCTGCCTGCCCAGAAGCTCAGAGCAGCTTCTCCCTTACCCACTGCACATCCTGGAATTCCAGGCAAGACAGGGTTCAACAGAAGAATTCTCTGCCTAAAACTTAGAAAACCACCGATGTGGTCCAAGCACCTCATCTTAGAGATGAAGCTAGTGAGCCAGAGAGGGTGGTGACTCGCCCAAAGTCACACAGCCCACAAGAATGTGATATGCAGAACCTAGGCCCTTGAATCTAGGGCGCCTGGACAGCACGGCACCCAAGCAGCTTCAGGTTGTGCCCGGGCAGTTTGTGGGCAGGACATGAGGTTTCATGACAAAGGACAGAACCTTCTGTGGAGCAGGGGCTCTGCCGATGGCTGATGGGCCCGCAGGTGGAGCATGACCCCAACCAGGTTCCCTTCGAGGGCCAGCAGCCCTCAGTGGCCTGTCCGCCCCCAGGTACCTGGGCCAGTTGGACGATGGGGAGTTTGAAAGCGCCCTGCAGGAGCTGCGGCTGACCAGGAGCATCTGGACCATCGACCTGGCCTACCTGATGCGCCACTTTGGTGTGAGGCACCGCTTCTGCACCCAGACCCTGGGTGTGGACAAGGGCTACAAAAACCAGGTGGGTGGCCGGCCACCGGGCCTTCACTGGGTTCAGTAGCTGGAAGAGGGCGTAGTCAAGGCCTGGACAGTTGAGTGGGCACATGGGTGGGCAGAGACCAGGGGGCAGCGGCAGACGTGCTATGGGCAGGAGCCAGTCCGGGTGACCTTGCTGTCGCACCTACCCAAAGGACCTGAGCAGTGAGCTGGTTCCCCCCAGCAGCTCCCCCCCCCCCAGAGCCCCCACCACGTGCCTGCAGCAGCACACGCGGGTGTGTAGAAGAGCGTCTCGGCCGCCGTCCCACGCCCTTCCCTGTGTCCCTCCACACAAGGCCGGGTATGGGGCCTCGGACTCGGCCCCGTCCAGCCATCATTTGCCCGTTTTCTTCCTCCTCGAAAGAATAGCCGGCTCCCAGTGGAGTGATTGGTATTTTGGAATAAAACCCCAAATGTCATCTTTTTTCTTTTTCCTTTTGCAAAAGAATGCCGACGTCGGCTGGTCGATAACCAGTGCGTTTCCCTCCCTGCATAGCTAGAGCCTGCGTGGCCTGCCTCTGCAGCAGACCTCAGTCCAGATTCTAACTCTTGGCAGAGCAGAGTCACTTCTGGCCATTTTGGCAAGAGGGTTGTTGTGTGGTGGCCAGGGCCAGTCAACCTAACTGTCCCCTGAGCCTCCCCAGCAGGGAGGAAGGCCCTTGCACCTGGTTTCTCGCCATGGCTACAAGGCAGAGGAAGGGTCCCAAGAGCAGGGTCACTTCTGACACCGCCATGGGGGCTCTGGCCCCCTTGACACCCCCGCACCAGACAAAGTACGCTCCGTGGACCTCGCCTGGCTAAGCCAAGTGGTGGCTGAGTGGTCACTTTCGCTCATGACCACGAGAAGCACGAGCCCAGGGCTGACTGACCTTCCCCGGGGGGCCCATGAGAGCCTGGCTGCCCACCCATTTCCTGAGCACCCTCTCCCTGCCTCTGCAGGGCCCTGTGCACTGCGGCCAGCCGCCCCGTCGGCTCGGACAGAAAGCTGTCTGCCCCCGTGCTGCCCGTGCTCTCTCCCCAGCAGGCCGGGCTGCTCCACGTCCCGCCACCTCTGCCCCGCAGTGTGTTCTGTCCAGACGGGGTGAGGGCAGCCTGCCCTTTGCTCTTCAGTCCTTCTACAGGAAGCACTTCGACACAGAGGAGACTCGGGTGAACCAGCTGTTTGCACAAGCCAAGGCCTGCAAGGTGCTGGTGGAGAAATGGTGAGCCCCCCGCCACCCTTCCTTGGACACGTGCTCACCCATAGACTTGCAGCTGGGGAGGCCTCAGGATGGAGGGTGAGAAAGGCCAGGGCCCTGGGAGTCGGGCAGAGGTGGGCTTCCTGCCCGGGTGGCAGTGGGCTCTGCCATCCCCGAGCCTTAGGTTTTTCATCCATAACGAGGGGGACTATGGGGCTACAGGCGGATCCTGAGCAGGGGCTGGAGGTACAGGTGAGCAAGACCGACTCCAGCCAGTTCTTGGTGGCCTGGGACAGAACACAGTAACCCAGATGAAGGGGGACGGCCTGAGGAACGTGATGGCATGGTCACAGAGGGTGACAGGGACCACCCGGCCGTCTAGGGCAGCCTGGCTTCCACATCTCCCCACGATCTCTGTGACCTTAACGGCTCTTCCCTTCCCATCTGCTTGGAGGGGCAGGAGTCAGGTAGACCCTGGGGGTAACTTGTCCAGCTGCGAGCGACTTTCTTCCCTGGGCTCACTGTGGGCACCGCACTCAGGCCTGATGGCTCCCGTCCCAGCCGGACTCCCCTTGACCACTCTTCTCAGGTCTCCCCGTTCTTTCCGGATTTCTGTTTTCATTGTTACCGTGATGTAGCCACACTGTGGGTGATTTGGAAAATGGGGAGTCTGCACGCATCCTTAGGCCAGAGGAGCTGTGTTGGAAGGAAAGGCAGCAAGTGTTTATTTAGTGGCTGCCGTCTTGCTGAGTGGGAAGTCGGTGCTGTGCGCACTCAGGTGAGGAAAGCGAGGTGGGAGAAGTGGTGTGAGCCACCCACAGCCCCCCTGCCCCCAGCAACTTGGCCACGCCGCGATCTGAACCTGACACCTCCGTGCTGTTATCTTACGCAGCCTGCTGCCTTTCCTTCCACCCCAGCCCCTGCTTTTTCTCGTAGCTCAAATCCCACTCCTGTTCCTACCATTGGGAATTCAGCCAGGTATTTTGTTTCAAAGACCAAATGGGAAAATGACAAGCTCTCGGGGCTGAGACAACAAACCCGACTGGCACGTGACTTGGCTGTGGGCTGGAGCTGGGCCAGGCCACCACTCCTGTGGAGAGCACTAAGGAAGGAGGGCCGGTAATGAAGGCGGAGCCCCCAGCCTAGAGGACTCACCCCAGCCTCTTCTCCCCTCCTGGGCTCTTATTTGGACTTGCTGTCTTATTAGGGGCACCCCATGAGGCAGCTGGCTCCGCCGGCCCGGGTCCCCCTGGCAGTGCTGCTCATCAGCCTTACTGGGCGGCCACTTCTGCCACTGAGGAGCCTGAGGGAAAAGAGAAAAATGGCCCCTGCAGGGAAGCATTTGATTTTGACACTGGCAAAGCCATGCTTGGCCAGATTTGGGGAGTTAAATTGGACCAGCAGATTCTAGCATAAACCACACATGGTTTAGGGTAAAGGACCAGTGGAGGCTTGACTGAAACAGTTCACTTACTGTCTGGGAGGTGGGGTCCCACGTGCCGCTCTACCAGCCCCTGGTGGGGGCTCATCTGGACCAGACCTGCCACCCTGTGAGGGGCCAGCTTGTTCCTGAGCACACTCAGAGCCCCCCTCCCCCCCACTGGTTCTGTGCTTGGCCTTGGACTGAGCCTGGGCCACAGCAACAAAGCAGGACATTCCCACCTGCAAGGAGCCCAGGGCAGAGGGAAGACCAGCCATGTCCCCACGCTGTGTGGCACAGGGCAGAACAGGCCCAAGCAGGGATGGGAGATGGGGATGGGCCCAGGGGCACTGGCTGACCCTCCTCCCGCCCCCAGCACGGTGAGCGTGCAGGACATCCAGGCGCACCTGGCACAGGGCCACGTGGCCATCGTGTTGGTGAACTCGGGGGTGCTGCACTGCGACCTGTGCTCCAGCCCCACCAAGTACTGCTGCTTTGCCCCCCGGGGCCATCGCTGCTTCTGCCGCACCCCCGACTACCAGGGCCACTTCATCGTGCTGCGTGGGTATAACCGGGCCACTGGCTCCATCTTCTACAACAACCCAGCGTATGCCGACCGTGAGTGTGGGGGGTGGGGGCGATGGGCAGGGACCCCGGACCCCCCAGCTCCTTCCCACTTACCCTAGTGGGGCCAAGGCCTCTCTCACTGCCTTCTCCCCAAAGACCCTGCTTCTCCTGGACCCCTGTCACCTGTGCCATCCCTCTGGGCATGCAGCAAGCCAGCCACAACTCTCAAGACATGCTGGCCTCCTCCACATCCAGGTCATTACCAGGCCTGGCCACCTGTCCCTCCCCCACTGCCAGCCGCTCACCCCCGTCCAGGACCCCACGCACCGTCTCATGCTGGAGACTGCAGCTTCCTCCCCCTCGCCCCCCACTGCAGCCCCCACAGGACGGTCAGCATGCCCATCAGAAAGCCTGCCCGGCCCCACTCCCTTCTGTAGCCCACGCAGGGCTCCCCACTGCCCTGGGCACAGGGGAGGGCTGCCCTGACTCACACAGACCTGTCCCACGGGGCCTTGAGCATCTTTCCTCCCTTCTCTGGGCCTCACTTTCTTCATCTGCTGCCTGGGGCGGGGACAGGACCAAGCTCACGAAGGCCACAGTAGGCGAGGAAGGCTTCCGGGGGTGGAAGACTTGGGTGGGGAGGGGTGGCAAGGCGGGCGGGACGTGCCTTCCCCGGGCACCGGTGAGGCAGGCGCTCTCGCGTTGCCTCACAGGGATGTGCAGCACCAGCGTCAGCAACTTTGAGGAGGCCAGGACCAGCTACGGCACGGACGAGGACATCCTCTTCGTCTACTTGGACAGCTGACAGCGGGAGCCTGGCGTGCCCAGGCCCTCAGACCCCGCCCTGCCCTGCCCCGCCCCGGCCTGGCCTTCTCAGGAGGCCCTGCCCCAGGCCCAGGGCAGCTGGGGCTTGGGTGCACAGCTTTGGCCTCAGCCCGTGTCACAAAAGCCCAGGGAGCTCTGGGAGGCCACGGCACAGCCGACTCGCCCGCCAGCAGTGAGTGCCGTCAGGCCGCTTACCCCCCACCACTGGTTGCTGGTCCCCAGAGCTCCTGAGCAGAGCTGCCCCAGGACCCTTGGCCTGACCCCAGCTGTGTCCGGGGCCCCCCAGCCCCAAGAGTTCCCTTGTTGCCTGGGCCTATCCCCCCACAGACCTGGGGACCGAGCCCTGGCGAGAGCTGTTACTTGCCAGGGCAGCATTTGTGTGTTTGGAGACGAGCCGACCCTGGCTGCACGGCAAGCTTTCCTCCCCCTTCTCCCTGGGGGTGCTGCAGGGTCCCCAAGGACCCACAGCTGGTTGCGAGGCCTGTGGCCCCTGAGGAGGGCTGGACCTCAGGCAGAAAGGACTCTGGGGCGCCCGCAGCCCTCCGGGGACTCCAGTTCTACAGTGTGTGTGGGCAGGAGCCTGGTCGTGCTGGCCCCAGTGCTGGCCGTGCTCAGGGAAGCCTGACCCAGAGGGCCCCAAAGACGCCCCCACCCCGACCTCCCGACACTCACCTGAGTCCCAACAGTGGGGCCCATCTGAGCACGGGGAGCCCAGATCTTGCAGGGCTGGGGCGCGGGGCCTGTGCTCCTCAAGCAGAACCCTGGTGTTCGTGCCAGGACCTTTTGCACAGAATGTCGGGTCTCTTCTGTCTGGATGGAGAAGGGTGACGCCTGCCTGGGCCACACAGTGTGGCGTGGCGCGCGGACTGGAAGTGTTGCCTTTTCTTTTTTGGGGTGAGAGTTGGTTTTTTGAGATTTAAGTTTTCAGTGTTGGGGAGTGAGAATCACCCTCAAGAAAATAATAGCAAGATTGGGGGTACTCTGGAATGGCTGACGCCTCTTTTGGGGGGGGGGGAGATAGGCCCGTTGGAGTTACCTTTCAAAGAGCAGGACTCCCAGCTGGTGGGCTGAGTGCCAGGGCCCTCACCTCGCAGAGTCCAGCCAGGTTTGGGTGAGTTTGCCCAGGAGCCCGGTGGAGTTGGGTCTTGAACCCAGTCTGCACCTAAAAAAATAAGGGAAGTGCATCATTCCCAGAGGGGCTGGGGACACACACACCCCTCTGGGGCTGCCCCTGGTGGAGGGGCCCCAACAACCTCTTTGCTCCTCTACCCCTGAGTCTTGGTCTTCCAGTGCCCACGGCATGGTGTGGTGGCAGCTGCTGCCCCTGCCCTCCCCCCTCAGCTGTCCCCTCCCCTCCATGGCAGCTCCGGGGCAGAGGTGGCCTCTGCCTGCGAAGGCCATCAGACCGCCCAGCTGCATTGCTCCTCGACACCAGATGCAGCCGTGGCTGAGAAGGGAGCACTGCAGCTGGGCAGCCACCCTGGGTGCGAGGCTAGTGTCGCCTTCACGCTGGTCTCACGTCTCTTGCCTTAATGCGGTGTGGCCCCGGACTCCAGGGAGTTCTGGCTCCACGCCCAGCAGTACCACATGTGATAGCCGTGGGGTTGGGGCAGGCTCCAGCGGGGTCTGGGTGAAACTGGGGGGAAGACAGATGTATCATGGGAAACAGGAAGTGGAGCTCTCAGGGTGGCTGAAAGGGAGGCCCGGAGTCTGCACAGGGAGAGCAGACTCCGTGGAGAGTGGTCACAGCACCTCCGTCTGTCACGCAACGTGTGGAACGCTCTGTCCCTGGGCTTGGAGGATGGCTTCTCAGGGTGAGCCAGAAGTTAGGGGGCAACTGTCTGGAAGATTGACAGGAAGGCCGCCTGCCCCTGTGATGGTGCTGTCTTCCTGGAGAGGGTCGTGGGGGCAGGACGCAGCCCACAGCATCCTGTGCAATGAAGAAATCATGGAAATGACCTGAGAAATGGCCCCGTTAGGAACTGCTACCTACAGAACGTGGCGCCCGTGACCCCTGTCCATAAGCTGAGGGTCCAGCACAGCCCCCAAAGCCACAGTGGACAGTTGGCTTTGTTTACTCCAGCCACATGGGGACAAAAAGGATCTTTTGCATTGCAGAGATTTTATACATATATTTTGTTTGTAATGAGCCATTCTCAATAAATGTTATTCTTCTGCAAAATGGTGGCAGCTTCTGGTCTGCCCTCATGGATCCTTGTCTCCTCAGCACAGTCACGTGGGAGCCAAGTCCTTGGCTGGGATCCAGCTTTCTGGGGTCTGCATCACCCCCTGATGCGTGTGCAAGGCCTAAGCGGGCAGTGCTGGGGGTGGAAGCGCCTCAGACCTCAGCTGGACTGAAATTCTTGAAGAGGGTGTGGGGGATGTAAACCCATGGATAGGAGGAGGGCCGGGGATGGGGAATGTCAAGTGAGGGGTGCAGTGGGGTCCACAGGATGGACAAGAAGGGACTCCAGCCCTCCCTGCACCCTCCACTTCAGCCAGCAGCTTATCTGCTAGCTATTGGGTCCTCCTTGTATTTTATTTGATAAGAATTCTCCCTCTGAACCAGGAAGTGTTTGGGAATCTTGCATCATCTGGCACCTTCAGACCTGCTTGGCTCCTACAGGGGGCTGATGGAGTCAGAGCCGGCTCTCTGGGTAGGGCCCCAGTGTCTGGCCTATGTTTCTGACTGATGGCTGCCCTGTCTGTGCCCAAGCCCACGCTATGGAGATACAGTAGCAGGAGTTCTGACTGAGATCTCAGACTCTGCTCCAAACTGGAGAGCAGCCCTGTAGACATCAGAGAGCTGCCCAGCTGCTGTGGTTCCCAGCCAGAGTGCACCGGGCAGCGTGGCACATGCAGCCAACAGCACGGGGACACTAGTGAGCCTACCGTCTGCACTTCAGCATCAGCCTTCTGCCCACCCAAGGGGAAGGGGCTCCGTTCTCAATGCGTATATCAGGAGCTGGAACAGGAATAGGAGTGATAGGTTTGGGGCCTCTGAGTGGCCAGTGAGTGCAATTATGGGAGAAAAATGACAGAATGAGGCAGGTGTTGAAGCGGGGGGAGGTGAGGAGGTGAGCTGGTGAGTCCTGGGTGGACTTGGAGGGTGGGGACTGTGGCGGACAGGGTGAGGGCTCCAGGCCAGGCCAAAGAAGACAAATGGGTGCAGCTGAGCTGGTGCCTTTTGCCCAGGGTCAGACTAACCACTGGTCTGGTCCAAGGGCAAGACTGCACCCGAGGTCCTTACTCAATGTGCTCTAGACAGAGCTAGAAGCTCAGAGCAATGACAACTAGCCATTGCTGCTTTTTCAACCCTCAGCCCAAGCCAGGTCGGAAGCAACCCCGGCGACCCTGTCAGGGGTGGGCCAGTGCCAGAGGAGCCAGCAAAGGAACTCCGTCCTGGAGCCAGAGATGGGGTGGCGCTGGCCTCTGGGAGCTGCTCCCAGGCAGGAAGCCTGGCACGTGTCCCCAGTTCCACCACGTACATATCTGTCTCCAGCACGTTTGCCGGGGGAGTTTTCACCCCAGAACTGATAGGCCCTAAGGCAATTTGGCTGTAAAATAAAATAATGGTTGACAGTTTGGTTTACACTTGGCAGACTTCATGTATTCTGTCAGTTTGGCCTCCTTTCCCCACCAACTCTGTGCTCACAGTGCTCCCACAGTCCTCACAGTGGCCCGGACAGAGACGAGTAGAGGTGGTGGCCTTAAAACAGTGGATGATAACAGCCACGCATGAAGCCGGACTGCACACAATACTAGAAAGCAATCATGTATCAAATATGTTTGCAAATCCTCCAGTGACCGCGGTCTCTCTCCCACCCATCAAATCCCAAAAACTGGACCAAGCTATGGTGACTGTGAAAGTCCTGCAGCTAATTCACAACTGTCTTCCAAAGCATTAAGCATCAGTTCTGCAGCTGGAAACTGACACCGCTCTTAACAGAGAAAGACATTTTAGCGGAAAAGAAAAAAAGCACAATGCTGAAAGGGGAGACAAATCAACAAAGCAAAAAAGAATATATCGCTATGAACAAAACACTTCAAAGCCTCTTTGCAATAACACTTTTAAATTCTTGTTACTAATTTTTTCACTTTCCATTGTGTGCTTTCTAATGTCTCTTTTCTTTTTCATTGTTTCGTGGTTTATGATGAACTTGCCTTATGGCCAATTAGTTACGTGGCAAAAATGCTCTCAGCAAAGATGTTTGTGGTAGAAGCACCTAGAGCCCCGGAAAAGCGCAGACACTCCTCTCCTTGCCAACTTGCCTCCACTCACCTGCCTGGCGACAGCATCCAGACACACATCAGGGACTTGCTCCTCCAGCTTCAGAGCAGAATGAGAAAACCAGGAAGATGCAGACACATCGCACCGCTCAGTCATTGACCCCAGGGGCTGAGCAATGGAACTAATGTGGACTTGAGTGTTCGTGGAAAAACTTCAGTGCTAAGAAATGGAGACTGAGCCTCCCACAGCCCAGCACAGTGGCCTGTCCCGTGGCTTCTCCATCATCTCCCCGCCCCCATCCCCTGCCCCCTTCCTCTTGGCCTCTCTCTGGCTGCACGTCCGGACGCCCATCCTCAGTACAGGCATACGTTGGAGATGCTGTGTGTTCGTTCCAGACCACTGCAATAAAGTACTACATAAAGCAAGTCAGAATCCTTTTGCTGGGGGAGGGTCTTGCCTTCAATTTGCTAAAAACAAAAAACAGTGAAACACAATAAAACAAAGTGCAATAATTCGAGGTATGTCTGTACTGTTTCCCAAGGCTCTCCCATAGCTGCTGGTGGGATCCTGGGCTTCCCCAGCCCTAGGAGATCCTGTGAGCCAGTCTTCCCAAGCTGTTCAGAGCTCCACAGTTCACAAAGGCTGATGCCCACATCTCACTCCACCCTCAGACCCATGAGGCAGCCCAGCTGGCCTCCTCTTGGGACCTCCCACCTATCCAAGTCCTTTCCTCCCTCAGGGCCTTTGCACCTGCTATTTCCTCCCCTATCCCCTCCTTAAGGGCTCTGCTCAATGCGCTCACTTTTAAAGGAGCACGTCCATCCTTTCCCCCACATACCCCAATCACATCATCCTCTCTCCTCTGCTGCAACCCCAATACCTGACACCTGGTAGGCACTTGATAAAGTATGTGACTGAACGGTTGACACCTCTTCATGTGGCACCTCTTTTAGGTGCCACCCTGACCAAATTCAGGGACTTGGGACCATGTGGTCAGATTCACAATGCTTAATCCAACAGTCAAGGAAAACCTGCTGCTTCCCCTTTATCCATCTACCATGCCCCAAAAGGAGGCCTGGCACCTTCTTGGAATCGTTGGGTGTTGGAGTCAGTACTGCCTCCCTGGGGCACCCTACTTGGTCCCTTTGCATCAGCTAACCCGCAGACCAGCCCCCTTTGAGCTGGACCCAAGGCAACAGACTGTGCTGAAAGCTGCCCAGCAAGCTGTGACCCGCTCTTGGGGGCCCTCCAATCTAATGACCCCTTTAAGCCACATGAGTCTCTGTGGCTGATGAGTGTGTAAATTGGAGCCTCTAGTCAAAGGCAAGCTGGTCATCCCCAGGAGCACTCTTGGAGTTTTGGACATGACCCTGACACAGTCACCAGCTACACCCTTTTGAAAAGCTTAATACTGGGCTCTCACTGAAACTGGATATCTAACCCATGGAAGTTTCGCTTGTGCACTGAGAAGAATACATTCAAAACCAGCCAGCCCAACCCAAGTGACACCTCAGCTTTACATGGAAAAATGGCAGCTAATCCTTTGGGGGAAATTTACATTCCAACTCCACCAAAGCAAAGCCGCTGGCTCAACAGTGACCTCCAGTTCCCGAAATACCTGGGCCTGGTTCACCAGTGGGTCAGCTAAGCAGAGAGACAATGACATGCCCCTGGCCGCTGCGCTGCTCACCCTCAGCAATGCTGCCCGGAACTGAAAATGGATGTGAGCCTCTCTGCTCAGTGGGTGGACCTCAAGGCCAGCCTTGGAGCCCTGGGCCAATCAATACTCCGGCTGGTAAACCTTGGCATATTTTTACTGACTCTTGGGCTGTTGCCAATGGCCTCGTTGTTCAGTCTGCCACTTAGAAAACCACAAACCAGCAGATTAGAGACACCTTTCTAGGCGGCCATGGGCTGTGGAAATCAATTCTGGCTGGTCAACTCATGCCGGATGCCCATGATAGAAGCCTGTGTTCTGGTGACACCAACTAGACAAAGACAGCTGATTGTCCCACCTGTCACCCCGTGATCACTGTGCTGGGCATGGGGACATGTGTCCGTACCCACCGTGGACCAAGCACAAATGAAAAACTGTTCCTGGTGCAGAGGCTCTCACCACGTGACAAGCTTGCGACTCCCCACCAAGGGCTGGCCACTGGCACAGAAGGAGGTCACCTCGCATGTACAGGGCACGCCCAGCCTGCTCGTGGCAGATTAACTCCATCGTATCTCTGACACCCACTTGGGGCTTCTGGTGGCACCTCACCACTGCTGACACTGTTTCAGGTTATGGGGCTGCTGTTCCAGCCCAATTGGCCAACTCGGGGCACACCACTGTGGCCCTTGACACTAATCCGCGTGTTGTCTTTGGCTCCCTGGGCCATTTCCAGCCCGACGAGGGTGCCCCTTGGATCTCAGGAGCACATCATCACAATGATGCACAGCGGGCGGTCACGGTGTTCAGCGGACCCTCCGCATATCCGGACATCCGCCGGCATCTGCGATCGCTCAGCCCTGGAACGCCTCCTCAAAAATCAACTCAGAAGGGTTTCTGACTCTGCCTCCCACACTCCCACCCTGGGCCACGCACTTCTGTAGAGCAGTTTGGTCACTGACGGCAGCCGTCTGTAAAGAGGCCATTTACTGGGTACATCAGGAGGAATGTGCCAAGAAGGTCATAAGGACCTGTGTTGAAATTTGAGGATTCACACTTGCCTATTCCTGGGCATGGCGCTCTTTTCCCTTCCCCCAGAGCAGCTCCAGGCCTGCCAGGTCAGCGTGTCTGTCTTTCGGTGTGGACAGCCCAGCTGGAAGAGCGCCTGGACACTCGAACTCCATTCTGGCGCAGTGCCTTGAAGTCTCCTGTTGGACGGACGAGGCCCAGGTCCTGGAAACAACGACCACTTGAGAGAGTGCGTGGCTTGCCAAGAGCCAGTAGGGCAGCGCAGGTGGGACAAGGTGGGGAATGCGATGGGTCCCTGTGCGTTTTATAAAAATGCCCTTGTTCCCCTTGCAACTGAGCCTTCCAAACTAAAGGTTTGGGTTTGAGAATGGGATAACTGGGAAAATAAGGAAGGTGGTGCTTGAGCTACTGGAATTCAGCTATGCTGCTACCTTGGAGCGGGAGCAGCAGTGCTAGCACCTAGGAAGGAAATACCTTTGACCCCAGGAGACTCGGGGTGGGGGTCGCTCATCATTAATGATCTTGTTTCCCCATCGCCTCTGGAGCCTTCCTCATGAACACAGGCGCCCTGGTGCAGCTCTCCCAGACTTCTGCAAGCACCTTAGATGCAATGGATTCAGGGTCTGCCTGTGTCCTGACCAGGTGGCTTTGACCCCAAACGGATCGCCATCCCATTAACCTTACCTGAAGTCTGCTGGGATGGCGGGGCACGTCCCCGCCTCCTATATCTTCTAGGGAAAACACCTGTGACACCACCAGATGTCTCCCCAACCCCCCGCCCCCCCTTCACAGACCTCAGTCAGTCCTCTGCAGGGGAGACCAACGCTAGCCGGCTGGCGGCGTGGGCAAACGGGACAGGCTGGACTGACTGCCCTTGGCCGTCCTTCCAAGTACAAGGCTTAGAGTCAAGTATTCACACTAACTGGGGACCCAAAGGCCTGTGCCCTGGCCAGGAGGCCACACTGAAGGTGCTGTCAACCTGGGCTCCAACTGACATAGGTCCCACTGGGGGGACCCTAAGACTTGTAAACACTTTCTTTCTAGGGGTACAGTTATCCGGATGACTATACTTGTGTGAAAGCCTGGCCTTAACTTGCCAACCTCTCCGAAACCGTGTCTTGCAGCTACGAGACGTTCCCGTGATTTCAATAAACGGCCCCCACAGGCAAGGAGGCCCACAGACGGCCGTGGCGCGCTCACTAAAACGAGGCTAAGCTTACGCAGGGGAGCTGCCAGGGCCCGTAACGTGTCATCCATGTGCACGCCGTGAGCCGTTATCCTTGAGATGGTGGCCATCTGATTAGAGAAGGTGGGGCACCATCTGGCCCTGACTTTAGCCGAAGTGACCAGTGGCACCACCTTGGCTCCAGAGGCTTTCAGGGCAGTGCCAACTCCCTGCCCAGCGTCGGCACAGATGAGAGATTGGCCTAGAATTCCTCCTCGTGGGCCAAAGCAGAGGCTGGACAACGTCTAATACTTGCTTTTGTTTCTGGATGAAGCACTGAGGCTGAGTGGGAAGGTCAACATTTGAGAAAGACCCTGACGGTTTATGCGATGTGCCCAGCCTGTCCGGTGGGAAACCCTGAGGGGTGGGACTGAGGTTAACACTGCAGGTGGGGCTCACTCTGCCCTTTAAAGTGCTGGGGGGCGGACTGAACTCATGCGGGGCGGCCTCTGCTGGTCAGATTCATCAGAGCGGCACATGCAGGGAAGTTGCAACGGGGCTCACTCGGCCCTCTTTGCTTTGTCCTATAGGAACTGCGGCTGGGGACTGCGGCAAGAAGATGCTGGTACTCTGGCTGCCACGACTGTAGTAAACTCTCCTGGTCTCTGACCCAGACCCCCTGTCTCCGGCAGCCTCCAAGGAACGGAGGTTGGCTGACTTGTCAGCCTGCAAATAGGGTAGGAATTCAGACTCTGCCCCGTTCTTAACGAGATGTCCACGCTTTTTAACACAGCAAACTCCATTTCTTGAAATCTAGCCTAAAGCGAACAAGAATAAGACAGTTTAGCCATTAAAATGTTTATCCCAGCATCATTTGTAATAGCAAGGAATGGATGAACGAATAAATGGACAACTTAATGTGCAATGTAGCAGAATAATTAAATAAATAAGAGCGCATGTACATGTCAAACATTCTGCAACTGGTAAAAAGAGTTTAAAAACATGTTTGTATGGTGAACGACGATGCTCCCATTATACCATGACACTGAGGGGAAAGACACCAAATTATACAGACACTGCAGTCCCTGTTATTTTAAAACAGGCATATAAAAGACTGGAAAGAAATATGCCCAGTATTAGCTATGGTTTACACCTGGGTTGGAGGACTAGAGACGACTCTCTTCCTCCTCCATATTTTTCCTTGTTTTCTCTAAAGTACTTGCTCATTACAACTAGGGGAAAGGCCCTGGCTGGTGTAGCTCAGTGGACTGAGTGTGGGCCTGCGAACCAAAGGATCATGGTTCAATTACCAGTCAGGGCACATGCCTGGGTTGCAGGCCAGTTCCCAGCAGGGGACACATGAGAGGCAACCACACACTGATGTTTCTCTCCTGTTCTTTCTCCTTCCCTTCCCCTCTCTCTAAAAAAATAAATAAATAAAATATAAAACAAAAACAAAAACGGGAAAGAAGCTGATCTCTCTTTTGTGCATCCTTTGCCTAGTCCCAGCTGAGCTGACCTGCCTCCTTCGGCTCAACAGACCTTCCCTGAGGGCCTGATGTGTACCCAGAGCAGGGTGGGGATTAGGGGGGTGGGGGTGGGGAACAGGGAGGAGCAGAGCAGAGGCCCAGCGCTCAGCCTGCGCCTCCCGGACACCGCACTCTGGGGCCTTGACTGGCTCTCCAAGGCAGCTGTCTTCAGCACTAGCTGGAGTGGCTCCGGGCAGAAAGCAGGACAGCCCTGGGCTCTAAGGATGGGGGCGGGGTGGGGGAGGGGAAGGCTGGGGCGGAGCTCCAGGGATGCTTCCTGGAGGGAGGGGGCACAAGGAAGACACTAACTCCCCCACCTTGGCTGGTGGGGGTGGGGTGGGCAAAACCAGTTCTTCAAAGGCCGACTCTCCCCAGGTGACCTCTGGGCTGGTTCTCATTCTGGTGAGAAAAGAACCACCAGGGCCTTTGCCCTCACACCTTTTAAAACAATTTGGTCCCATCTGCATAACGTGCGATTTACCATTTTAACCATTGTGAACTGTGCAGTTCGGTGGCCTTAAGTGCATTCATATTGTTGGTCAACCATCACCACTGTCCGTCTCCAGAACTTTGTCATCTCCCCAAACTGCAACTCTGTCCCCACGAAACGGCAGCTCCCAGTCCCCTCACCGCCCGCCTGGTGACCACAGCTCTAATTTCTGTCTCTGTGAGTCTGACTGCGCTAAGGTGCCTCCGGTCAGTGGAATCGCACGGCACGTGCCCTTCTGAGACTGGCTTCTCTCACTCAGCACAGTGTCCTGGGGTTCATCCACACAGCCACGCGGGTCAGAATGTCCCCTTTTTAAAGCCTGGATGACACTGCGTTATTGAATGTACAGACCACGTCTTGTTTGGGCCTGCGTTTGTGGTGCCCCCGCTTTCGGTTCGGTTGGGCACGCACTAGAAGGAGAACCGTTGCGGCGCACGGTGACTGTCTGCTCGGTGGGGGAACTGCCAGACTGGCCCCCAGCAGTGGCACCATTTCTGTTCCCACCAGCAGTGTGCAAGGTTCTAGTTTTCCTCCTCATCACCCATACTTGTTAGTTTCTGGGTTTGTTTTTTTTTTCCTGCTAAATAATAGCCATCCTAATGAGTGTGAGACGGTATCTCACCGCTGGTTTGATTTGCATTTCTCTAGTGGTTACTGATGTTAAGCAACTTTTTGTGCACTATGGGACATTTATACAGGGGTAGGCAAAAGTAGGCTTGCAGTTGTGAGCACACAAAACACAGCTTCTTCTTGCATTATTATTTATTAATTATTGTACTATTTATTTGAGCACCCCTGGGTATATGTTTGGAGAAAAATCTATTCAAGCCCTGTACCCATTTTCCATAGATTGTTTTTTAGTTTTTGAATTTAACCCTTTATCAGTACATGAGTTGCAAATATTTCCTTCCATCCTGTTCGCTGTCTTTTTACCTATTGATGGCATGCTTTGACGTACAAAATTTTTAATTTTGACAAAGGTTCCAACGTATCTATTTTTCCTTTTGCTACTGGTGCTTTGGTGCCACATCCAAGGAACTGCTGCCAAATCCAATGTCCTGAAGGCTTCCCCTATATTTCCCTCTAAGAGTTCTGGCTCTTATGAGAAGGCCCTTGACCCATTTTGAGCTAACATTTGCATACAGTCAGGGAAGGGCCCAACTTGATTCTTCTGCACACCGATGTCTGGCTGTCCCAGCGCCACCGTTGAAAAGACTGGCCTTTCCCCCACTGAGTGGTCTCGGCACCCTAGTCGGAAATCATTTGACAATGTACGTGCGGGTTTATTTCTGGGCTCTCTATTCTTTCTATTGGTGTTCGTATCCGTCTTTGTGCCAGTACCACCTGTTTTCATCACCAGAGCGCTGTGTTAAGTTTTGAAATCCGGAAGTCTGAGTCCCCCAAGTTCATTGTTGTTCAAGGCTGTTTTGGCTACTGGGGGTCCCTTGAGATGCCGTATGAATTTTAGGATGGATTTTTCTATTTCTGTAAAAAACATCCTTGGGACTCGGATGGGGATTGCACTGAACTGCAAACTGCTCAGGGCAGTACTGACATCTTAACAATGTTCAGTCTCCCAATCCATGAACAATTCGGTTGTCTTTCCATTTATTAACATTTATATCTTACTTTAATTTCTTTCACCAGTGTTTCGTTGTATAAGTTGTTGGCTTCCCTGGTTAATTCCTAAGTCTTCTATTCTTTTTGATGCAGTTGTAAAATACATTAGTTTCTTAATTTCCTTTTCAGATTGTTGATTATTAGTGTATAAGATGCAACAGGCTTTTGTGTGTTGACTTTGTGTCCCGCTGCTTTGCGGAATTCATTTATTAGTTCCGGTACCACTTCCAGCCCCAGACTCTGTGTCAGTCAGGGTGCAACCAGAGAAGCAGAAACAGTAGAAGATACACTAAGAGATTTATTGCAAGGAATTGCCTGAACTGATTACGGGAGCCGGATAGACAAGTCTAACATCTATCAGACTGCCAGGGAGGGTGGGCTGGAACTCCCAGGAGTGGGCTGAAGCTGCTGTCAGCCCACAGGCCGAATTTTCTCATCAGGGCAGCTTGCAGGGCCTTCTGTCTGATGAAATCGGACCTACCAGGATCATCTAGGATAATCTCACTTGCTTAGTTAACTGATTATGGACCTGAGTCACAGGTGCAGAATACCTTCAGAGCCATACCCAGATTACGTCTGATTAAATAACTGGAGGCTGCAGACCAACCAGGGTGACACACCCAGCGACTTGCCCTCTGCCCGGGGCCGTCCAGGACTCTGGACCAGCCTCACCCTCTCCAACTGGCGCATACACGCCCACGCTTCCCCTGAGGTTGCTGAGTCCAAACAAGGATATGAGGGACCTCGGGCTTGGGCAGCCCATCTCCCTAACTTCCAATCAACCTGCACAAACATTGCCCAGGATTTAAAAAAAAATAGTTACAACTCACATAACATAAAGTGAACCATTTTAAAGAAGACAATTCAGTGGCCTTGAGGACATTCACAGTTCTTGTAACCATCACCCCTATCTCGTCTTAAAACATTTGCATCACCTCAGAAGGAACCTCATACCCATTAAGCAGCCAGTCCTCCTTCCAGCCTCACCATCTGGACATTTAAAAATCAGTCTGGACGGCCACATTCTCAGGGCGTCATCAGGGAGACTCGGAAGGGCAAAGCCTGTGGCACCTGCTGATCTGCTGTGGGCAGAGGTGCCCTCCACGGTGGGCAGGGGCTGAAGGGCAGCTACTCCTTCACGACATTGGGGCGGTAGTTGGGTTTGACGGCTTCGGCAAGCTCCCGTGCATACATCTCATATCTGCCTGTCATCTGAAAGCAAAACGGGTGCACTTTAGAGGCTCCTGGTTTACAAACGCCCCTCATTTACTCGCCACCACCTCTTGCCACTAGAGGGCAGCCACGGGACAGAAATTCATCAGGAGGGCTGCTCTGCAGGACAATTTCAGACTATAATACAGAGAAACAACCCCCCCCATCCTACCCCCACCCCCTCAACCCTGCATGACCTTTCAACACTGACCCCGGCGCTGCAGTGGTGAAGATCACGGATGCCAACATGACTCACACACCCCGGCCCCTCCCGCTGGGAGAACCCTGCAATCTGTGATCTGTTCACCCGGAAGGTGTGGCCCGCACCAAGGCAGGAAGGAGGACAGTCCTGTGGACCTGCAGCTCCCGGCAGAGCAGCCTCCAGCCCAGACGGGGGAGTAAACTGCTCCAGGTCACCAGCTAGGAGTAGGGTTGCCTAGGATTTGCACCATGGTCTCCTGGCTCTGGGCCTGGAGGTCCATCCACACTCCACATGGCACCTCATCACGGACACAGATGGAGGCTGGGAGAGGCTGGGGGGCAGGACTGGAAAGCCCACCCAAAGTGCTCACACGCCAGCATGCCCCACCTTCCTTCCCTCCTTCCCAAAGCCTTAACAGGAGTTCATGCCCATCACCACAGCGTGGGAAGTCTTTTGCTTTCAAGAAGTTACTAATGAGAAAACATTCTGTTTATTGGTTCCAACTGCTAATTTGCACCCGGCCTGGAGTCTTAGCCTGGCTGGACCAAAGCCCTGGTCCCTCCCGGGCACGCTGGGCAAAGCCAGTGAGTCATGACAGTGTGCCCCCATTTGCATGTGGGATCTGCTTATATGTGGGTGCTGCACTGGTGAAAATATTGCCCAACACTAATGCAGCCATCTCTGTGTGTGTCCGTGATGAGACGCCACATTCTGTGGGGTCCCATGGCTGCTACTCCCTCACTCCAGGAGGGCGGGCACCTACATCTTGGTGGGATTCCTGGTGTCACAGGTCTTAGGTCTCAAAAGCGGCTTGGAACGTTCAAGTCAAGCTTCTCATTTTACAAATGAAAGCGCCAAGGCCCGGGAGCAGAAGGGGCTTGCTTAAGTTGGCTGAGCCAGGAAGTGGCAGAGCAGGGCCTAGATTCCATTTCTCTGCATGACCCATTTCCCTCTGCTGTGCAGGCCTAGACGGCAGGGCTGGCCACAGGCAGAGCCAGACACCCACATCTGTCTTGTGATAAGTGCAAATGCCTGGAAGGGAAAGAAAGGATCAGAGAAGCTAATTTACTTTATTCTCTGGACAAATGAAATTGAGATTAATTTGTTTGAAGGCGCCTAGAATCTAAATCAGATGAGAGGAGAATTTATTGAGGCCTGCTGCCTGGGCAGCACTTCGCCCAGTGGTTCCTCCTCTGCGCAGCAGCCCTGGCTGGGGGACCTGCAAGGGGGCAGAGACGCAGCCCTCCGCCCAACTCTGAGCCTCACACGGGCTGTCCCCCAGGACAAACCCCGCAGCTGCGGTTCCCAGCACTGAGAGCCGGATGGGGGCTCGGGCGGAGGAGCAGAGCAACAGCAGGGAACTCAGAAACCCACCTTGAAGGTCCAGACGTCATTCACCTGCCGGCAGAGGTTGAGGTCGAGCTCAGCAACCAGCAGTCCGTCCCTGCTGCGGGAGAGCCCGGGAGTGCGGCTGCTGTCAGGGGCTGCCACGTAGCTGGAGCCGTAAAAGTAGCCGAAGTCCTGGTGGGCTTTGAAGGAGCGAAGGAAAACACCGTGAGGTTGCGGACACACAGTGGACTCTGCAGGGGGGCAAGTGCATTGAGGGACACACAGGACAAAGTGTCCACACCACCCTCTCCAGTGGCTGCCAGATGCTGAGGCCAGAGGACCTGCCTCCCTTCTTAGCCCTGAGGGCCCAGCCAGTTTGCTGCAAAAGTCATCCTTGTGGCTCTCACCTCTACCTCTGGTGACATTTCTAAAGGTCCCTTTGTAGAAGTGTTGGCGTTTTGCTCCACAGCCCACAGGAGTCGTGTGACTCTCTAGGGCCTCCTGTGGGCCCACTTCCTGTGGCAGCCCCACACCGGGAGCTGGAGGCTCTGCTTTCACTTGATTGCCAACTGTGTCGCCTCTGCTCTCACTCCCCACCAAGGCTCCCAGTAAAGCAGGGCTAACAGCCGCCCTGCAGGCCCGTAAGGAGCAGGTGGGTGTAGTGCAGGGCCCGGCATGGGCCAGGACCTAGCAGGTGCCCAGTGGACCTCATTCCCCTGCCTCTTCCACACCTGTCTGCAGGGAGGTAACTGGGACTGGAGACTCTGGTGTTCTGGGGCCTCAAATGGGGTTATCCGGGACCCTTTCAGGAAGAGCTTTTCCCAGAAACAAACCCACTCAGCCCCCTCTGGCTTCCCTGGGGACAACCTGAGCTAGTGAGGACTCCTCCTCAGGGAGGGGAGCAGCCCTTCCCTCCCACATTCTTGGACAGACTGGTGGGACCAGGAGGAGGGGGATTCCTAGCAGAGACAAGGTGGTACTTCATCTCAGATCAAAACCAGCTGTGGATTCTGGGATCCCAAGATCGCCCATGCCGGTGATCTGCGGCATCCGTCCAGCTGAGTTTGGGGATGGACAGGAAAGCGGGGAGTGAGGTCTGCAGGGTGGACAAAGCATCCCTTCTTTGGGGAAGCTCACCAGGGACTCCACCACATCTTCTCGGGCCATCTGTGCACCAGTCCCCAGGAGGGACGGAGTCCAAGCCAATCCCAGTTGACCCCCACCCAGGGATGAGGAGGTCACGAGCCCAGCGCTGTCTACCCATATCGGCCCACAGCAGGCTCCCACTCTGGGTGTGACAGCCAAGAGGAGTCAACCCCTCGAGGTGCCAGGTGTGCAGACTCAGTCCGTGGGGAGGACCCTGCCCGGGGCAGGCAAACAAGAAGGAGACCCGCTCCTCAACTGCAGCCACCGAGGAAACTCAGGGACATACCTTTCTTCCCGTCTCCAGAGGTAAACTCATTTGGGAAGTACTCCTGTGAAATGACAGCAAGGTGAGACGCGCCTGTAGGTGGCACTGCCACTGCGCTCCTCACACAGTCAGGCTGAGGCGGAGTCAGGGGAGAATCGGTCAGGGCAAGACGGAATGGCCTGTCCTCACTGCCCGACCAACAAGTGCCTAATCAATAATCAGTGTTCCTGCTGAGTGAGTCCCCAGCACTGGGTGAAAGATGCAGGCCAGGTGGCCAGCGGGGAATCTGACAAGCAAGGCGAAGACCCGGATTTTGCCTTCGGGGAGGTTACAGTCTGCTGGGAGACATGGCCAGGGTTTGCCTGCTGGAGTATCCCAGGGTCTGTGAAGGCATCAAGGGTGGGGGTCCACATACTGTTTGGGGGTCCCCCAAAGCCTAATGGAAACCACACAGCACACTAGAATGGGGGCCACACAGGACAATGAACACACCACATTTCTTTATGTTGCTAGAAATTAGACCGACCGAGCGCAGGAACCTTGGCTATCTCAGACTGGCCGGGCACTCGACTGGAGTCGGCCATCTGATCGGTAAGAATGAGGAGTGTTGTATGTAGTAAATGCACTGTGTGAGAATTGCTCAGTGCAGGGGGCCAACGGGGGAACACGAAACCAGCCCCACTGGGTGGCTCCACTGCTTGAGTATCGTGTGCCAAGGTCGCGGGCTCTGTGCCTGGTCCAGGTGTGTGTAAGAAGCAGCTGATGGATGGATGCACAAGTAACAACAGCAAATCAACACGCCTCTCTCTGTCTCAAATCAATTTAAAAAAGAAAGAAAAAAATATGAAACCAGATACTTAGGAGGGAGAGGGTGAGAGCCTCTCACAACGGCTTCAGCTAAAACTAAACCAGACAAAGGAGAGACGTAGGGATATCTTTAAAAGTGACAGACCGGGACAGTTCCTAGGGTTTGTGGCAGGCACACGGCGAGGGAACAGGAGGACCCGTGCGACATGCCCTACCCAGGCCAGCCACGGCTTTCCCCGTGGCCTCCTCTGGTCTGAAGACGCCCCCTCCGGCAGGCTGGTTTCACAGCAGCTCTGTCCCCTCCTCGGTGCACCCGGTCGACCAGGTGGAGGCCTTGGGGACTTACCTTGCCCACGCGGTTGATGGCGCAGGTGAAGCAGTGATTGGCAATGGCGGCGTTCCTGGCCTCGATGGGCCACATGGACTCGCTGAGTAAAAGAGGAGAGAAACCAGGGTGCTGCCTCCCCAGACCTAGGGATGCTTGCCCCGAGCTACAGCCTGGCTCCCACCCTTCGGGCCTTTGGTGGGGACAGCCAGGGAGACGCGTGCCTGTGGGTGACCCTTAATCCACAAGCAGGCCAGCTTGTCCTCGGCCTGTCCCATACTCAAGCCCAAGGAGCCCTTGGGGGAGGGCCTGCTGCGGGGAGCAGCAGCCCTGGATCCAATCCTCTCCCTGAGCCTCCGTCCCATCTTCGAGACGCCCTTGAAGGGAGGCGGATAGTCAAGGCCGGGTGACCTTGCGGGTGAGGTTTCTAGAGCGGGCTGCGCGGCAGGAACTCCACGACCTGCTCCTTCCTCCCCTCCTCCCGGCTCGGTGAGGAACCCACCTTCCAGGCTGCGCAGACCCCCCCCCCCCGCCCCGGAAAATGTCAGAAGGGAGCTGGGGCACTTGTGCTTGGCCCTGCGAAGGCTCTACCCGCCTGCCCCAACTCTACCCTGTGGTGTGGCCTTGCAAAGCAGTCTCCGCTGGGAGAGATTTCAGGCCAAAGACAAGAGAACAAACCTGACGGGGTTTAGGTAACGGGGAGGGGGTAGATTCCGCAGCAGGCATCACCTCCCTGAGCTCGTCCCCATTTCCCAGTGCCTGTATGGTTTTCTCTGCTAAACCCCGAGTCTCTAAGCAGGGGCTCCCCGGTTCTCTCTGTGGCCCAGGAAGGAGGTGACCTCCAGGCACAGCTGAGCTGTGGCCGTCCGTCGGCCCAGCACCTGCACAGGGGAAGATGTGGCAGGAGACCTGGCCCCAACCAGAGACCCAGCCCCAGCCAGAGACCCTGACCTTCTCCAGCCCACCAACTGGGCCGTGGAATTTGGGAATTCTGGTTGGTCGCTAATTATCTCTTGTCTGAGGAACAACATCATTAAGATTCTGGATTGAGCCCCAGCTGGTGTGGCTCAGCTGGTGGAGCCTCATCCCACAAAGTGAAAAGTTGCTGGTTCGATTCCCCATCAGGGTACATGCCTGGGTTACGGGGTCTGTCCCCGGTCAGGGTGCGTACAAAGGGCAGGCAACCGATGTTTCTCTCTCACAGGAATGTTTCTCTCCCTCTCTTCCTCCTTCCCTTTCCCTCTCTAAAACTAAATTAAGATAATAGAAAAAGAAAAGATTCTGAATCAACAGGCATGATGCCCACTTGGAAACATGGAGTGACTGGGTGCAGAATGCCCTGGAATCTTCCTTCCTGTCAGCGTGCACCTGGCGTGAACAAGAGAGTAGGTGGAGGGGGGTGGATACTTGTCATAAGCCTAATTCTCAGGAGAATTCATGAGTCTGGAAAAAAAAATCACAGGCTTGATTGAGGAGACTCATTTGCTGCTTTTTCCCCCCAGCTGCTAAGCCAAACTGACAAAACTTTTAAGAAAGGATTTTTACAGAAACACACCCGTAAATGACATTTTCAGGAATGAAATAGACAGTCACAAGGCAAGTGCCACAAACATCTTTCTCGCCATTCCCCAGGGAGGATGTGTTGCGTAGGACTGCAACCCACAGCTGGCAATGAACTTAGACTCTCAGAACAAGTGAGGGAAAGGAAGCCGGGGGTTCGTGAGAGCCCAGCACGTGCAGGAATCATAGAGAGCCCACAAGGAGCGGGGACATCTGCTCTGTTCCCAGTGCGGCTACACCAGCCCCTAAAAATAGTCAGAGGGGGACGGCGAGGCGCAGCGAGGGGACGGGACAGCAGCTTTCTGACTAACGCACACGTGGGGAGAAACCTTCCACCACACGGGCTGCATGTGACTGTCAGGGTGACTCGCTTCATTGCAAAGCACTTCAACGCCCCTGCACGCTTAAAACTGAGAGACCCCCGCGGTGGGTGCGGACACCCTGTCGGCCCAGAGCGCACGGGGTGGGGAGAGGTGTCAGGGGTGGGGATGGACGGCTCTGGAAGCTGGGAGACGGTGCTTACGTGCCGCTGGCGGGAATTCGCCCCGCCCTGCACTTAAATACACTCACCATCAATCTCACAAACATCCTTTCTCACTGGAAGAAAATCACTCAGAATTCTGCCATCCTAATAAAACATCTGTGGTAATTTTTCCACACTCCAGGACCATCCCTGGCAGAGAAGTGTCCCAGAGTCCTGAGGGCAGCCTGCACACATCAGGGAGTGTAGGCTCATGGTCGTGGTGAGGTGGCCCACCCACAAGAGGACCTTCTCAGCCGCTCTGCCCGCTCTGCCGTAACTGGACCCCTGGAGGAGACGGGCTGAGACCCACCCAACCCTACACTTCCCTGCCTCTCAGCTTTTCTCCTCTTATAAACAGAGCTTCCAGCCATGTTTCAGGTGTCTAACCTCTTCCTACTCCATTAGTTGCTTCCTTAGGTAAAATTCTGGGAGTATAATCATCTGATCAAAAGGTGTAAACATTTTAGTCCTTCATGAAACACACCATTTTCTATAAGGACCTGCCTGTGTTTTGACTACTGGGCTCACCACCCCCTTCACAGGCACGAGTTAGGTGAGGAAGGAAAATCCATCATTTTTAATAAACCTAATAGGTTGCTGAGGACATAAGCAGTTATGTGCATATTATCTCGGGGTGTTTCTGTTTGCTTAACTTGGGCTCGTAAAGGGAGCAGGGTCAAGGAGTTGGCCATGTGAGTCTGAGGCCGCAGCTGCACCTTCCCCGGCCCAGGAGCCAGCCCAGGCCCTCAGGGTGTTGGCTTGGGTTCCTCCAGGGCCCAGCATGGAGATGGAGCGTGTGAATGCCTTACACATGGCCGGCAGGAGGGGCTGCTCCAGGGGGTGGCCTGGAGGTTCTTCTCAGGCCCCCTTCGTGGCTAGAGGGCCAGCAACCACACTCTGTCACAACTGCCAGTGGACGCTGTGTTAGTGACCAAGTTGCCACCAGGCCCTGGGGAGATTCTCTGAGGGGAGACGGAGATGTGACTGCTCCTCTGCCCCACAGCGCCCCTCCTGGACGTGGATAAAACCTTCGGGTTCGCAGCCGTGGCAGCCAACCTGGGGCAGCAGACAGGGTCTGGGGTCTGTCTCTGGAAGGGACCTGAGGCGCAAATCGGAATGCTGAGGGGATGTCACTCTTGAGAAGGGGACACCATCCTTTAAAAACGAGGGTAAAGTAAGTGCCACCTTCTGACATTTAAAAGAAATTCGACTGAAGTTTAGTAAAGCGAGGACAATAGCAACATGTGGGCCACCAGGACTGGCTGCCCCCCATAGAGGGAGGGAGCGGCAACCCCCCTGCAGCCTTCGCCCTGTGGGGACACTGGCACCCAGGCACCTTCCGCCCAGGCGCCCTGCGTTAGAGGAAGTGAGTTGGGGAGAAAGAGGTTTGTACACAAGTTGTTGGAGCTCTGGCTCTTGTCGATGATGCTGCCGGGCAACCACCCAAGGGCTCGGCCGCTGGGGAGAGACCTGGCGGCCAGGCTGCAGTGAAGCCAGCTCGCCTGGGCGTTAAATGAGGGACCCCCGGGGTCCTGCCCCAGGGAGGGGGGAATGGGGGCTGCTGAGCCGGCCCCGCAGCCTTGATCAGAACACGTGTTAGGTGTTTGAAGAAGAAGACACTTAGCTGCTTAAAAACAAGTTTCAGAGCCACTTGGCTGGTCCGTTAAGGGCCCTCTCAGCTCTGACTCCCTCGTTTGCTCTTTTGTTTGGGTGTCTGCCTCCCATGCATTGGGTGTCACGGACAGGAGGCTCAGGAACACACGGCCCCCCCCCCCCCACCGCCCCCAGGAGCACAGGGGCAGGGAGGGGCGCCAATGCTGGCCGGATACCTGCCGCTCTGGCACTTGAGGAGTTTTTTTCAATCCTGACCACTCTGGGGGAGATGGGGGGATGACTGTCATCTCATGGCTGAGTATTGTAGCCAAGGACAGTATTTCACAGCAGAGCAGCAATTTAGGGGGGCTGTGATTAACTTTTTGGGGGTGTTGGTTAAATATACCACACAAAACCCCGGGGCTCTGATTTGTCAGACGTCCTGGTGGCTGCGCCTGCCTGTTCCCGAAGCCACCCCCCAGGACCCTCCCAAATCCCAAATGCACAGGAACCTGAGCGTCCCGATGGTGGCCGAGGGGTTGAAGATGATCTCGGCCCCGTTGACACTGTACAGGAGCCAGTTGAGGGGGTGGTGCCGCCCGAAGCAGATGTTCACCGCGATCTTCCCGAACGGCGTCTGGAACACCGGGTGGCCCAGGTTCCCCTCCATGTAGTAAGTGGACTGGGAAGACAAAGGGCGGTGTTGCAATCAGCGCCCCTGAGATCTCTAAGATTCCCCTTCCCTGAGACTTGGCAGAAAAAAGTGAAGTCTCCGTCGCCAGTACTCCAAAAATGACACACACTGGGTGTGACTGAACTTGAGGTTCACAACTCTAATATGCTCCAAAACAAACCCAAAATAAAAAAACACAGGGAAACCCCGGACTACAAGCCAACTCGAGGGGAAATTACCACGGCTTAGGCATTTACCCACAATTTCTTTCGTGATATGACAAAAAAAAAAACAAAAAAACCCTCACAGCAACTTCCCCACAGTATTTCAAGGATCAACTTTAGCGAGCTAGCTTTCAGTCACGCAGGGTCCGGCCAAAGGCTGAGGTTTGGTCAGTGTTAACACGAGTGGTCAGTGACCTCACTGGGCACGTGTTCCTATAAAAAATGTCAGAGCTGAAGGGACCAGACGCTCATTAGGAGCAGTCCTCGCCCGCCAGTGGGGAACACCAGAACCAGAGGGGGCGTGTGACTTGCTGGTCATGAAAGCCATCTGACACTGGGACTCACACCCAGAGGGTGGTCTTCTCCATGATGCCTCTGGGTGTCCACCCGGGCTAAGGAGGTCCCTACAGGGCAGACAGGTGGGAAACAGGGCCACCATCACCCCCTTCCTGCCTGCCCCCTCGGGGGTGCCGGCCCTGGGACAGTGCCATGGACGGCCGTGGGGGTGGGGTAGAGGGCAGGTCAGGGCCCTAAACTGATCTGCTCCCTGAGCATTTTGCTTCCTCTCATTAATTTCGACTTCACTGGGGGTCAGGAGCAATCAGGGTGTGCGCGTGTGGTGGACACCAAAGCAGATCCTGGTGCGCTGAGACAAGCCCTTTGCTATCTCCAGGGAGCTAAAGATTAATCCCAGGGTAAACAGGCGAGGGGCAAGTCTTCCTGTCCCCGTGTCCAGCTGTTCCCGAGATACACCATGTTCTTTTTTCTCTGCGGGGAGCCTCGGCCAGCTCTCCGGGCCCTTTCTTGTCCATCTGACTGGCTGAGCATGGCTGGACCCCCACAGTCAGGGAACATCACGATGGGCTGGAACAGCCATTCAGATTTCACATCTTAGGTATTAGGTGGGGTTCATCTTCCTCCTCAAATGTCCACCCCTCTGTCCTATCAACCGTAGGATTGGCGCTAACCAATCAGAACTGCTCCCCTGGCTTAGACCTGGACCACGGGCACAAAGCCCCGCCTGACACGTGTGCACAGTGTCACCCAGCACGTGGGAACGGCTGACTCAGATCCCATGTGACCCACAGACATGGACCTCTGCCCCCCCGGGGCCCGACAGGGGCTGCGGAGATTATCTCACGCTTGTGCGTGATTTATTTCGGTTTGACTTCTATACCACTTACTTCACAGAAGAATTTCAGGAAGCTAAATCAGGTAATATTTAAAAAACAAAATAAACAAACAAAAAACCTCTGTGCTAAAGTGTTTTGTTCTCTTCCAGGAGCCCCTCGCCCCCAAATCCTGTCCATCCATGTGATACAGGACAATGTGGGAGGCCCCTGAGCCCTGCAGACACACTGTGCGCCAGCATCACATGGTGTGACATGATCCGACACGGAACGGCCCTCACAGAAAGGCCCGCTGGGGTCTATGTGCGGGAAGGCGAGCCGGCCGGGCGGGCCAGCTGAGGGGCCACTCACCTCGTTGAAGTCGCCCACCCTGGGGATGTGGTTTTTCCTGGTCTTGCCCAGGACCGCCCCGGAATTGGAGATCACCACGGCTGTGTTTCACAGAACGTCCCCGTGCACTCCATCCCGTTCCAGGATGGGGGACACTATCACCATGTTGTGCTTCTGGGCCAGCTGGAAAAATAATAAATGTAGCAGAGTCCTCCTGTCAAGTCGACCGCCATGGATTTTTACTGAAGAATTCAATGGTTCTTCTAAATAACTAGCCTTGGTTCAGAGCCACCACTTGCTGTTTGAAAGCCTGAAGGCCCGTGCGGTCCCAAAGGCCAAGCCCAGAGAAATAAGAATCGTCACCGTCCTTGTGCGCTGCTGGTGGGAAAGTGAGCAGGCGCAGCCCCCTGGACGTGGTGTGGCGGTTCCTCAAACGTCAGACACACACAATGACCATGGGACCCGGCACTTCCACTCCCAGGCACACACCCAAGAGAATCGGCTCGTGAAGATATATTTGCACATCGCTGCTTGGAGCAGCGTCATTCACCAGCGCCAAAAGGTGGAAGTGACCCCCGTGCCCATCTGTGGGTGAACGGATAAACACGTGTAGCATGGTCACACGACGGAATATTATTCAATGTTAAAGTGGAAAGAAATCCTGTCACGCAAATGTCCTCCTTCATATGGGCGAACCCTGAGGACAACATGCTAAGTGAAAGAAGCCAGTCACAAAAGGACAATAGGTCCTGCCTGAGTCCCCTCCTGGGAAGAATGCAATGGAGCCGAGCTCTGAAACAGAAAGTAGAACCCGCTGGCCAGCGGCTGGGGCAGGGGGAGCTGCGAAGGGTGCGGAGTTTCAGATTTACAAGCTAAAAAAGCCCTGGGACTTACTTCAGAGCACAGCAAATGTAAGGATTGAACTGTGTACTTCAACATGACTAAGAAGGTAAATTTTATGTCATCTGTTTTTTGGCACATTAAAAAAAAAAGGGAAAAAGAACAATCATCATGCTTCATATACATATAAAACCTCCCTGACACTGAATTCCTTTGTCACGAATAAGAGCATCAGGACCTAGGGACCGGCAGGGTACACAGTCCTAGCCAGTCATTGTCCCCAAGTGTAACTAGCCTGTCATCACCTCCGGCCTTAGTGACAGGAGAGAAGGAAAGGCACACAGGTGGAAGGCATGTAGCAATGGCCGTCAGTCCCCAGCCGTACACAGGTGTACGCAGGTGTACACAGGTGTCCCCTGGGACCATTTGTCATTCCCCCGCTTCCTTCTCTCTTCCTCGGCCCTGGCCCACGCGATCCACCACCACCCCCGCCGGCCCCCTTCCTCTTTTCTTACGCAGCAAGGAGTCCACAGCCCGGGGGCGAGAGATTTCCCCCCTCCGGCCGGAGAACAGAATCAGCTGTGAATGATTCTGTTCCAGAATCCCAGCCTCGAATGAACAGAACCACCACGATCCCAGTCCTGCTCCCCCTAAATGTGCCTGTACAATCTAAAATGCCAGGCGGAGAAAGGAGAGGAGTTCTTCTGTTGGAGATGAGAAGCAGGATAAGTCCGCTCTTTGTAGCCTCTTTGAATGTTAAGGTGTTCTTTTGGGGAGTAACAGTTTTATTAAGATATAATTCACATGGCGTAAAATTCATTCTTTTAAAATGCGCCGCACAGTGGTCTTTAATGCCTTCCCTGCGTTGCACCGCCATCACCACAATCCAATTTTAGGACATTGTCATCACCCCCAAAGGAAGCCCACGCTCATCAGCAGTCACCGTCGACCCCTCCCTGTCCAGCCTGTGGCAACCGCTAATCTGCTTTCTGCCTCCATGAGTTTACTCTGTCTGGACATTTCATATAAATGAGGTCATACAACATGGATTATGAGGTTTTAATAAAGAAAAATGAAAGCCAATTTCTCCAGGGACGAAGACAGGCCACGCAGAGCAGCTTACATAACTCGGGCGGACAGCAAGCGGAGGAGCGGAATCCTGGACAAGGAGCTGACTTCGTCCTGATCCCCGAGGGCCGGCTCTGCCACTTGCCGCTACAGGACATACCGTGGGGTCACCCAAGCCACCCTTCCCTGGCTGCGGCTCCCTCGCCTGAAACAGCCATTAAGGGCCCCCCTCTGGCTTTGGAACTATCATTTTAAGTGAAAGCAACAGTAAAACAGGGCAGTAAATAGTCTTATCTAATCTTATCTGGAAAAACAAGCACAGGGCAGGTACAGGTGCATTTTCCAGAGTGAGAGGCCACGCCCCACAGCTGTGGCCTTGCTCTGTGACCTGCATGTGTCCAGCAGGTGCTGTCCGAGGAGCAGCTGACTGTCCTACCTTCTGACAGAACCGGGTGGTGGGCCCGTCCTCCGCCGACTCGGCAAATTCCGTCCAAGGAAGCTTCTCTCGAGTGCAGAAAGCAAAGGGCATAGCTGTGAAGAGGAGAAAGGTCAGGCTCACACCTCACTTTCCAGGCCTCTGAGGGGTGCTCCTCGGCCTGGCAGCAGAGGGTCCCCAGGAGAGCACGTGGCCCTGAGTGCCTCGGGCGGCCTTCCGAGCCCTGTGCCTGGCTGTGAACGAAGGTCAGGCCTACACTTTTGGGCTTTGCAGCAAAATAGGCAGCTGCACCCAATGTCTTACCTATCGTCTTTTAAAAAAAAAGTTGCTATTATTTTTTTACGCCTCGCCTGAGGATATGTTTATTGATTTTAGAGAGAGAGGAAGGGAGAAAAAGAGAGAGAAACATCAGTGTGAGAGAGAAACATCGGTTCCTCCTGTATGGGCCCTGACTGGTCATCGAACCCGCAGTATTCTGGCGGACAGGCTGGCACTCCCGCCTACACGGCTGCCAGGCCAGGGCCCTCACTTACAGTCTTACAAACGATTGCAGCACGGACTTGAACAGCTATTCGCACACTCGTGTTCCCAGCGGCAGTATTCACCAGAGCAGAAAGACGAAGTACCCCAAGTGCCCACTGACGGAGGAACAGCCGAACAAAGCGCGGTTTGCACACACAATGGAGCATTAATCAGCCTCAAAAAGGCAGGAAATTCTGTCACTTGTTGCAACACGGACGAACTGTGAGGCCATTACATTCAGTGAAAGAAGATGGTCACAAGAGGACAACTGCCGTGCGACTCCACTCACGTGCGGTCCCTAGAGTGGGCAAACCCACAGGGACAGACGTTAGAATGCTGGTTGCCAGGGGCTGGGGGAGGGGAGAACGGTGGGAGCTGCTGTTTAGTGGGGACAGAGTTTCAGTTTGGGACAATGAGAAAGTTCTGAGGACAGATGCCGGTGACGGTTGGCTAACAGCGAAAACTTACCTAATGCCACAGAACCGTACACTTAAAAATAGCTAACGTAGTAAATGTTATGTCTATTTCACCACTCTGTATGTATATATGTTTATAAAATTGTGTAAAAGGTGTGGCCTTAAAGTGCTGCCAACCAGCAGATCCCGAGCTGCTGGCCGGTCTGCAGGTTGGTAAAAGCACAGTGAAGACCCCTGGGTGGAAGCACCAGCGGGCCACGGAGGACCACGCTACGACCTGGGGAGCATCACCATAGAAATGCTTTTCTCCAGAGACAGGGAGGTCTCTTTAGGAACAAGAGAGGCCACTCACTTAATGACCCCATAGGAAGTTCGGGACCCACTGAAGGGGCTGAGCAGCCCCCAAGGATAAACGCGTTACTGTCACGTGCTACTTGATGACAGGGACACATTCTGAGAAAGGCATCCTTAGGTGACTACATTGTGTGAGCATAACAGACCACAGTCTGCCACACCCCTAGTTTGTACAGTACAGCCTATTGTTCTGAGGCTACAAACCTGTGCAGCCTGTTACTGTGCAAAGTGACGACATCAAATCAGTCATGTGAGAAAATGGTGCAATCAAAGGACGCGGTAAACACGGAATGTATGAGGCCATTGCCGCCGTAACGTGACATTGCATTTTACAGCCCACTTTTCTTAATGAACAGAAAGAGTGCAGTCTAAAAACAATAAAAGCATAGAATAATAGAATACACATGAATCGGAACAATAGCCATCTATTAGCATTACCAGTATTATATATCACGCATACGGTATATGCGATGCTTTTGTAGAGCTGGAAGCTCAGGTTTGTTCCCACCAGCATCGATCATCACAGGAATGTGACTCAGGTGTTGCACTGTGATGTCACGAGGGCTGTGACATCATGAGGCAACAGGGACTCTTCAGCTGCATGATGATCTTATGGGACCACCGTCTACACACCATCTGGCAATGACAGACGTGTCATTACGTGACTGCATCCCTGTGATCTCTGGCTGGATACCACCAGAGGACTAAATGCACCAGCAAATTCATTAAATTCATTGACTTTTGTTTGCTTTTTTTTTTCAAATAGTGGGTAGATGTACTTATGTAGTAACAGCTCAAAAAACACTCTGCATACCAGGCTGAAAATGGGAGCTTCCTGTGCAGGAGAGGGCAGGGGCCGTGATGGGCTGGACACCAGGGACCTTTGGCTGTGTGGGTCCCATCCCCTTCCAGCCTCAGTCACACTTTTCAGCGCCCTCCAGTCTAATGGCACTAAATTTGCTGTGTGGTCCCTGGCCTTCTGGATCCGTCCTCTGGGCCAACTTGTTTCTACCCTTTGCCCGCTTCCTACTGAGCTGTTTGTCTTTTTCTCCTTGGAGAATCAGATTCTCTGTTTGGACCGATTCCATATACTCTTTAGATCTTCCTCCTCCTAATCACCCAAGATCACTTATTTCAGGGAGACTAGCCTAGCAGAAGTTTCCAGATGCTTGCTGTTGTTCTGGTCACCCTCGGGGAAGGCTCATGGGAAGCTACGTGATGTGACCGGAGAGTGCTTCATCAGGTCACGACCCACTGGGGGTAATAACTGTAGCCCACCTTTCCCAAACATGGGCCATGCACCCGGCCTGATAATAGGCAGCTTGCCCGGATATCCCTGCAAAGTAGGTGTGACTCTCCTCACTTCACAAAGGAGAAAGAGAATCGCGCCCCTCCCGATTCCTCCCTGCCCCAGGAAGCTTGGAACTAAGGTGATGTCAGCGCAAAGGGGCCACCGGTGGCACTACCACCATCTCAGGTGCCAGGTGTGGTGGCCCATGGAGGTACTTACGTGGGCACCAGGCTCTGCCAGCAGCAGCCCCAGGGGGTCTTGGCACCAGGCTCAAGACTCCCCAGGCGCCTCTTCAGTGAAGAGAGATGAACTGTTTTAAGGAAGCCAACAAAAAAGCTGTTGGTAACGAAAATGATTCTTAATGACCATTCGTTCTCAGCTGTCAGAGCATTAGGAGAGACCAAATGCCTCAAGAGGATAAAACCTCCCTTTCTGATTTCATTTCAGATTGATAAACTCTCCAAATTTCTCCATTTTCATTTTAATGGCTTCTTTTCCTGTTTACACAACTACTGTAACGTAAACAGATGTTCAAAAGAAGGATGTGGAATGGAGGTTGGGGGAAGCTGGCTGCTAAGTCCCGACCAGGGTTTCAAACCAGAGGGAAGGGGGTTCCCTATTCACTGAACCGACACCCCCAGAGGCAGGCTGTAAATCTAGACCTGGCCATGCCCTCAGGAGCTGCCAGCCAGGACAGAGGACTCAGTTACAGTCCAGTCTGGCTGCAGGACACCACGGAACGCTTGCTTCTGCGTTGGGGAGGCCCTGGGGTCCCCACAAGGAGGCAGTGCCTGTGCCAGGCCCCGATGGACGAGGGGAGCTGTCCAGGTGCAAAGAGGGAGGAAGCTGGTGGAACCATCCAGTATGTTTCAGTGTCTGTCATGCACCAAGGACTCCTCAAGTCGCTAAAGATAAAACAGGGTGGGGGATGAAGAAAATGGGGTATATCATACAATAACATAGTAGGCAGCCATTAAAAAGGAAAGGAATTCTGACGCATGCAACAACATGGATGGGCTTCGGAAACACTAGATTCAGTGAAATAAGCCAGACACAAAAGAACCGAGACTATGTGATTCCACTTCTGGGAGTTACCTAGAGTAGTCAAGTTCGTAGGCAGAGAAAGTGGAATAGAGGCTATCGGGGTGAGGGAAGAGGCAGAGTTTCAGAGTTTTTGTTGGAGATGAGGAAAACTTTTGGGTACAGGTAGTGGTGATGTTATACAACTTTGTGAAGGTGTTGAATGTCACCAAATCATACACTAACCAATGGTTAAAGTAATAAATTTTATGTTGCGTATGTTTTATCACGATGACGATTTTTCATGTTAAAAAATAGGGGTGGAGATGAAGATGGGCACAATAAATGAATAACACCCAGACTGGCCTCATGGAGCTTACCGTCTACTGGATGAGGCAGACAAATCCAAAGGACATGAAACAAGAAATGTGACAAATGAGAGGAGCTTCTGGGTGAAGGTGGCAGATTGGACTCGCACCTTCGCTCTTTCCTGAAACCCCACCAGGAGGTCAGTAAAGGGATTTTTCTGTAAAGGAAATTACCCATCAAGGATGGGGCACCGAGAAAGGGACAAGAGTAACAACACCCAGGAGGCTGGAGAGCCAAGGGACATATGTAGGTATCTTAGAGGACCGAGGAAACCGAGTCCCCCCAGCAGCAAAGGAGGCCAGGAGGCACCCCACTCTTCACCATAGACCCCCCGTCGAAAGCTCAGGAGCCAGGAGCACTGAGCAACTCTGATGGTGGGGAAGCAGGAAGGGCTGACAAACAAGAAGGATGGGCTGAGAGTCTGATCAGGAAGCAGTTAGAAGCCCAGATTCCACGTCTACTGTAAGAGGCTGGGACGTGCCCCTCCTGCCCCGGCAGAAGGCTTCAGGCTCATTCATCACAGAAAGTTAAACAGAGCATCTCTGGCCTTTGGAAAACCAGGACAAATAAAGGCAAGTAGTGTCCAAAACAGAGGGATTAAGTAAACATCAGTATTTTGTTCTCTCTCTCTCTCTTCTTGGCAGGAGATTAGAATACTCTTCTCTGGAGAAGCTAACCAGTCCGAAGTAAATGACCTGAAGACAGTACCGTGGGGGATTACTCAGTGAATAGCTAACCTGGGTCACCCTATCACGGAGCCCAGAGGAAGAGCCCTTCCCACAAATTTTGAGATTGCAATCAGCTTTTGAACCCCCCAATTCTTAAAATACAATCCATCAGGGGAAAAAAAGACCAACTGGAATGAGCAGGGCCTATGCAGGGAGAAAAAAAATATTACTTAATATTTTCAGAGATGAGTAGATACTGCCACTGTTAAATAAAAACAGGATGTGATAAAAACAGGAACTTTCAGACCAAAAGCGCTTTAATAAGTTCAAAACAGGAGAGCAGAAACCAAAGACTGAATGACGAACTAGATAAAATCTACCAGAAAATTGAGAAAAGACAGAGCAATGAAAATAGAAGGAAATACATTTAAAAAAAAACTCGGGATTTGGCCCAGGTTTCAACATCCTAATAGTGGGATATCAAGAAGAAAGGACAGAGAAGAAGAGGGGAGAAAATCACTAATGAAACAATAAGAAAATTTCCCAGATGTGAAGGACCCAAATGTCTAGACTGAAAGAACCCACGGAGTGCTCAGAATAACAGATTAAAATAGAGACACATAATGGCACATCCTATGAAATTTCAAAGAATTAGAGAAAAAGAGAATCTCCTACAACCTTCCAGAGAAAAACACCTGGAGCCAGAAGACAACGGAATGAGGTGTTTAAACTTCCAAAGGAAAACGACTTCTAACCTAGAATTCTATACCCAACCAAACTATCAACTAAGTTGTAGGAAGAACGTATTTTCAACTATGCAAGGTCCCCAAAAGGTCATCTCCTATGTGTTCTTTCTCAGGGAGCTATCAGCTGACCCAGAAAACACAGGGGTTAGGGGCACCAAGACCTCAGCAGCTAAAAATCTGTGTATAACTTTTGACTCCCCCAAAACTTAATTACTAGTGGCCTATTGCTGACCAGAAGTCTTACAGATGACGTAAACAGTCAGTTACCACATATTTTGTATGTTAAATGTATTACCTACTATACGCTTATAATAAAGTAAGCTAGAGAAAAGAAAATATTATTAGGAAAAGAGAAGAGAGAGAAAATAGATTTACGGTATTGGACCGTGCTGGTTGGACAGTATTGATACTGTGGGTTTAGATGGTCTGTTTACAAGATGAAAAACCTCCATGTGTAAGTAAACCCACACTGTTCTAACCCATGTTATTCACAGGTTAGCTGTACTCAATCTAAATGAGGGAGTAAAGTGAGAAAGAGGAAGACGTGGGATGGGAGAACACGAGAGCAAGGCAAGGGGGCACGCCGGGATGACCGTGACAGGAAGTCTCAGGAAGGACTCTGCAGTCGGCGGAGGGTACAACTGGTCCAGGCCTGCGCGGTGCGAAGACTGTGCGATGCCTTCCTTCAGGGAGGTGATGGCTCCACGTGCCTAAACCTCCCGAGGGGACTTGGAGAACTGGCAGAAAGCTGGGGTAGAATTTGTGGCAAGTATGCTGAAAACAAAGCAAACTCCAGGGAAAACAGAAAGCTGTTCAGGGAGAGGAATCAAGCTTTCCACAAGGGCTTGGCAGAGAACAGAAGGGGGACAGGCTAGGAAGGTCCTCGTGCGTCAATCGGGCAGAAGGAGGGAACGGGCTCATACCGACCACCTTCCCCCACAGGGAGAAGTCAACGGATAATGCGAAACTGAAAGATTAGGAAGCAGCAACGCAAATGAAGGTAAATCCCAAAGGCACCAGCAGAGAGTTGAAAGTAGATGCCTCTGGGGAAAAGGATATCAGGTTTTTGGGGTTTTTTTTGGAATAGACCTTGTAGACCCATTTGACTCTAAACCATGAGCATGCACTACCTTGATAAAAATAAAAATGAAGTGAAGAAAAAGTCCCTGGTACCACGAATACGTAACAGGAACATAACTAGGTGAGGAGGTGGGAGCTGAGAGTTGAGAGTTGAGCTGGGGGAGTGAGGCGAGAGGAGGGGACGGCTGGTGTGGTGGCCTGGGAGGAAGGAGCGGGCCCTCAGGAGCGGGGGTCTCAGGAGAGTGAACCCTCAGTAGGGTCAGGACACAGCCCTGCAGGGTCCAGGGGAGAAACCAACTGTGCATGCATAGCCGGCTCCCAGGAGATGCTCACAGTGCTTGTTCAAAGAAAAACCAGGGGGACCAGGCTGAACACCCGAGAGTCACGTTTTGAAAAGATCTTTTCTAGAAGGTACGGAGAGCCAGTTAGAAGGGGCTGGGGTGGAGGGCACAAGGAGACCAACTGGATTACAGAATTCATCGTGAGAGCTCTTGGTGCCTTGGGCCAGGGCAGTGGTAAGAGGGTGGGGAGGAAGAGGTACAAATGGATTCAGAACGATTTGGGAGGAAGAACTTATAGGACCAGATGACAGGTTGGGGCGCATGAGACGGAGGGAGGCTGGGGTTCCTGGGTTTCTGGCGTTGTTAACAAAGAAACTTTCTATGAATGAGAAGAGAAAGGAGATTTAAAAAAAAATTGGGTAGCATGCCCTGGATGGTGTGGCTCAGCAGATTGAGTGCTGGCCTGCAAACCACAGGGTCTCTGTTTTGTTTCCCAGCAGGGCATGTGCATGGGTTGCTAGCCAGGTCCCTAGTAGGGGACGCATGAGAGGCAACCACACATTGATGTTTCCCTCCCTCTCTTTCTCCCGCCCTTCCTCTCTCTCTAAAAGTAAAAATTAAAAAATCGGGTAGCAGACACTCTTATCAACATGGAGATAATGCAGTGTTGTTTGGGGCAACAGAGAAAGCACCCCAAGGTAGACTTACTCCATGCTTCCTGGAAACAGACGATATTGACTCCGCACATTGCAGCCACCTCTACAATGGCCTCTATGCGTCTGTGAAGGGCAGAGACCTGGTGATTTAAAAATCAAGGATTAGAGCGCATTAGTTCTATTGGTTGAGACCATTTTAGAACTGATCCCAACGCCCGCGGAAAAACAACCCCCTGCCCGGTCAGTTGCTAGAGGATGAGCAGGGTGGGGAGGTTCTAGTCTCATTCTGTCATCGGGTCTGACATCTGCATGAAAAGGGGGAGCTGCAGAAGCTCTGGGGTCCCCCACACTCTAGGTACTGCCTTTCCCAGCCTCAGTTGCCTTGACTAGAGAATGGGGAGAACACCGCCTGCCTCGTGGGGGTGCTAAGAGGATGCACCGCTGTGAGGATGTTGGTTACTAAGGGAGGGCCCACACCCAGCGGGCCTGCCACACACCAGGGCCATCCCCTGGGTCACCTGCTTCCTCACTTCAGGACCTGCCGGCTTTCCACGGTCCTGCCTTCAAGGTTTCAGGGGAGCCTTGTCTTGCTGCTTTGTTTTCCTGTGTGCGTCTTATCATTGAATGGCTTGCCTTTCTCAGCCGTGCCCTTGGCCAGGAATGTGCTTCCTTCCGCCACCCAACCCTTCCTTGATGTGTTATCCATGCCACGTATCACTCACAGAGGGAAGCCTTTCCCAGGAGCTTCGAGGTGTCTCTGTGCTCCCAGCCTGTGTGTGCCCCTACTGTGGAGCCGTTCCCATCATGCTGTCACATTCCTCCACTGCCTGTCTATCCCACGACCCCAGGAGCTCCTCGGGGGTGAGGGGAAAGTGTCCTCATCTTCTCTATGTCCTCGGCAGCACGCATAGCCGGCTCCCAGGAGATGCTCACAGTGCTTGTTCAAAGAAAAACCAGGGGGACCAGGCTGAACACCCGAGAGCACACTCTTCACAATGTTCCGTCTCTCCCCTGCAGGACTGTGCACACCAGGGCTCCACGGGCGTTTGTTTGCAGGGGGCTGGCAGTGTGCAAAGCGTGCTTCTGTGTATGTGGGGGTGAAAACCGCGGCCCTGCACTGGCTGGCCTGACCGTCTGAGACAGTCAAGGGCACACCTTCACAATCAACCCAGTCTGAAAACCAGAAACCTTTTAGTTCAACAAAAGCAGAGGAAAAGACCAATGTACAAGACAATGCAGAACTGGATCTGGAAGCCAATGGGCCTTAGGTTTCTCAAGAATCCCTGAGAATCCTTGAGCCTGCCGTATCTGGAGGACACCTCTGCAGAGAAAGCCTGCAAAGGCTGAGCAGCTGGGGGAAGATGTGAAGAAGTGTATATAACAAACCACCTGTGTCTGTGATAACACGCTTCTTTAAGGATCCCCAGGATGCTGTCACATTGATATTAATGGTAAGGTCATAAGCAAATGCCTATCATACTCCTGCAACTCTGTAGGCACTGCCAGCTGACAGACATTGGAGTCTAGTGAGTCCTGCCCTTAGTTAGGAGCAGGGCAGAGGGACGCAGGGCCGAGCGGACGGTCCTGATGGTGTGTGCTGGCCGGGTTCCATGGACAGAGTCTGAGCCAGCCAAAAGGGCACCGTACCAGTGGGTTAATGGGACAATGGATCAATCACAGAAGAGGAAGAGGAGGGGTAGGTGGAAAGAACAGGGAGGAGTGAGAAGGTAGAGAAAGGGTAGGAGTCAGAAGAAAAAGAAGAGCCAGAGACACAGGAGGGAGGGAAAGGGGGCATCCAGGGCAGAAGCGGCTCAGAGACCATTTAACCACTAGATGTACCCGCCAACCTGGATCGAGAAGCCAGCAGGGGACTGTGGATGCGTCCCAAGCCCGGAGTGGGCCATGGCCCATTTCCGTATTTAGGGTCAAAAGCAGTCGCACCTGTTTGGCCACAGGGGCATCGGCCGGCAGGGGGATTCTGTTCTGAACGAGCCCCACGCGCACTATCCGAGGTGCCCTCAGTTGCTCTGCTGCTGCCTCAAAGGCGTATCCCTGCAGCTCGAAGTCTGCTTCGGAGGCAACTTCAAAAGCCCTGCTGGGCAGGTCAAGCTTCCTAAGAGGGCGGAAAACAAGAGGGGAGATGATTTGCATGAGGTGTGCTGAGTTTAAAATTCCCCCAAGCCCACAGTCATTCATCAAGGGGAGAAGAGGTCCCACACCCTGGCAAGGAGGCAGGCAGAGCAGTCCGATGCCAGGGTGCATGCATGGGGAGCTGGAGAGGGCCCTGAAGGAGGGATAGGGCCTGGATGGCTGGGAACGGATACTGCACTGAGTGTGGACTTAACCTGACGGTCACTGGGGAAATTTCTGCAGGTAGGCCGCAGCGGTCAGATCTGGCCAAAGGAGGCAGCCGGTGGGGGATGCGGGCAGCAGGGCAACCAGTCAGGGGTTGATGATTTAGAGTTTCTGATATCAGGGTGGGGATGAAAGTCTCAACAATCAGCTGAGACTAATTTGAGGGAATGGATTCCCAAAGATATCCGTGGACTGGAACCAGAGGGCTCTGCAGAGCCCGGGGGATAAGACAGAGACAGTGCTGAGAGCCAGGCTCAGGAGATGGCTGAGTGGACAGGCCGGGACTGATAGCATGACAGGGGGCCCTGTGGCCCTTCAGCACCAGCGATGACGAGTCTCCAGTGATCCTCACTGTTCTGCCTGCTGCTGCCCCCACCAGGGGAGGGACGATGGTTCTATGCTCAGTGCTGCATAGGCTTGGTGAGAGCCCCAGGGTCCAGACCAAAGGCCCAAGCGCTCTCCCTGGTGTGTGGTTTATTAACAAAGGCAAGTGGATTATTTATTCATAAAGCCTCCCCCTGAAGTGACCGTTGGCCAAAGGGCAAACACCTGCTGATGCCTGTCGCACGCTCCGTGCCCGGGTGAGACCCACAGGGGCAGAAGGCTTGGCCTCTGGCCCGGAAGGCCTTACCGTCTAGGGACAGGGTGGTTATGAAACACCCAGAGAACACATCAAAAACCAACCTGACAGGCACTATCTAATAATAATATTTCCCTCCTACTTTAAGTCACTTTCTTAAAGATGTTTCTTTCAAAATCACAGCCCTGTCAGCCCCAGCCCCTGTCGCCACCCCCTGCCAGGCAGTCTCGACATGACAGCCTTGACAGCTCCCGAGATGGGTCCGCCCCTGACAATCAGCCTGCTTTTCAATTACAGGCAGGGTTCCGTTCGCTTCAGCAGGTTGGAAAGAACAGCGGTGCCCACACCTCTCCTCCCTGCGCCGTGGTTGCCTCAGACACAGTCCTCCTGCCCTCAGGTCTCGGCACCAGGACGAGGCACGTGGTAGAGGAGAGAAGGAGAAGGGTGTTCCTTTTTCCCTTAGGCCCACGGCCAGGGAGCTGGACCACCCTTTGGGAGAGGTCCTGGCAGCCTGGTCCTCAGCCTGTGGTCTCACGCCAGGAAAATGTCAGGTGGATGAGGTCTTGTCACAGGTTTGCAAGCCTGGCTATAACCATCACCTGGATGATGTCCCTCAGCCTCTGGCCATCTCGCCCCATCCACTGCCCACAGCTGTCTGCTCCCCACATCTTTCCACCACCATCAGTCCCATTATTCCACCACAACCTTCCTGCCTCCTCCTCATCTATGCTGGGTGCTGCTTCCCTCCCCCCTGCCCCTCAAATCCCTGTAGACGCTCTTTCCCCTAGGCCTGAGGCAATGCGGCCCAGGCCCCTCCACTTTGGGGGTTCTACCTCTCCTCCACACCCCTGAGAGCTAATCACCTATGTGGAAAACTTATTTCTTTTTTTTTCTAAGACTCATGCTTAGTCTCTCCCTGAGGCTCACAAGCTCTCTCCAACTTTTTCCCAGGAGAACTGGCTCACTTCACCCTTAAAACAAACCTATTCTCCCTTGCTTTAAGACACCATGACACCTTTTGGGGGAATCCTCAACTCCAAGAGGCCTCTCCCGTGATGGGCCGTGGCAGGTTTGGTGGAAAGTGGCGTTCCGGCATGAGCACACTGGCAGGGCCTTGACGGTCACTCGGTCCTGGTACTTCTTTGGGTGTGAAGAGCCCTTTTTGACAAAGTTCTGTACCACCCCCACCCCCAAAGGCAGTTGTTCTACCTTTATCATCCACCAGCTGTGAGAACACCTTTGGGTTTGAGGCCTGACCTCGATGCAGTTACTCCACAGCCCAGTTAGCTGGGAACCGTGGGTCCGACGAGTACCCTCAAGTTTCTGGTGAGTTGATCAGGTTCCTGCTTTAAGGTCACTGCCAAGGTCAGAGAGCCCACCAATTGGCACGGAAGTGGAAGGACATTTAGTCAGAAGCTGCGTGGGGTCAAAGTTTGGATTTCATTCTAAGGGTTACGGAAATAAATTCCTTACAGACTTTTAAGCAAAGGAGCAACAAGATATGATTTACGTTTTCTGGCTGCTTTGAGAAAAGTGGACTGAAGAGAAACCAGATTGGAAGGGGAAGTCTCTTCCAGCTTTGCATACCCAGAGTCCAGCAGCGCACTGCCCTCAGAAAACCCTGCTGGTGCACAGGACTGGCTGGCAGTGGAAAAACATTTGCACTGAGTGTAGGAACTAACTTCTATGGTTTGCCAAGTGGGAAACCAGTTTCAGCAGGCCAATACCACCAAGGGATGGCCAGAGGCCAATCGCTTACAAGAAGGAGGGGCTGGGGCTGGACAATCAGTTAACATGCAAGGGGGCTCTGGCTAGAGGCACTGACTGGAGCAGACACCAAGAGTACAGCAATCAGGGGAGAGTCCTGATTACTGGAAGCTGGGGAGGAGAGTTAGGTGGCCACAGAGAAAGCCTTAGGGAGTAAAAACACCCGTCCTTTCCCTTCTGGTTCTGGGCAACTGGGGGAGAAGTGCCTTGTAAAGGTTGGGTCAGTGCTGTTGGACCCCTGAGCGCCTCAGAGCTGTCACCTAGATTTCTTATGGTCCTCACTCGCTCTCTTAGGACTTCATTACTGCCCTCCCCCCACCTCCACCCCCCCAGAGTCCTTAAGATCCTGAAGCATTCTCCCTGGTCCTCCAGACCCACACTCTCTGCTTCCAAGGCAGAGCCCCCCACCCCAAGCCTCTGAGCCCCAGACCTGGTCTCCTTGCCATAGAGAATTCGTTTCACCTCCCGCAATTCTGCAGGCGGCAGATGTTTCTCTAAGCACTGCTCCAGTGACTGCCATTCAGGCCCTGCCATGGCTGGAGACCGCAAGCACCACCGTTGTCCAGACCAAAACTGCCTGCCCTTTACCCCCAAGGGGAGGAGAAAGAGGGGGAGATGGCTAAGCCCGCAGACGCCCCTCCCCTCCAAGCTCTGCCCATCCGCCCCTGGAGGGCTACTGAGGACACGCCCCTCCTCAAGATTTGGCAATTCGAAGCCAGTCAGCGCTCCAGGACTTTGAGGGTGGCCCCGCCCCTTGCCCTTGCACCCCTTCGGCATGCGCCAGGACACGCCCCTTCCACTGTTGGACAGCTTGGGGCCCTCGGTGCTCGGCGTGGGGGCCTTCAGTCGCCCTCTGAGGCCCTTGTTGGGGTTGCCGGGGCTGTTCCCTTGCCCTCCAGTTCTTGCTGGCCTCCAGGTTTCACCTCTCACTTGCCCCAAGGTGTCGGGGTGGGACCGAGAAGCTGGAGAGGTGGTGAGGGAGGCTACGGCGCGGGTCAGAGGTGAAGGGCGAGCCTGCTGCAGCGCCGCTTCTGCAGAGCCATTTTCCGCGCCAGCCTGCGCGGGCAGGGCTTCGGCCCACCACACGGAAGGAGTTTCAGTGTCCCAAGGGCAGGAGGCTGCCCCTCCGTCCCCCAGTGCTTATTTCCGAGAATTTATAACCTCCGAGGGTCCAGGTTCGCAGTCTTGGCCCCCTCTTGGCCGCGCGCCCCCCGCCCCAGGCTATGGCTTGGAATCCCAGGAGGTGCCTACACAGCTTAAGCGTGAAGGTCAAGCGCTTAATACTGCAAAATGCTCGGTCCCTGCACAATGGCTCACACTCTGGACCTTGGGGTCCCTTTCAGTTCTGCTGTCTGCAGATGGTGTGCCCACATGGGCACCTTCCTGGGAGAGGGGAGAATGAGACAGTCGCCGAGATAGGCATGAGAACCCTCTTGAAGTTCTCTCTGCTGTTTGCAGAGAACTGAACAGGGAAGTGTGGCTACCTTCTGGGGAGCTGCAGAAGGCCCTCTTTCCAGCCCCACTGAGAACTGGAACAGGGAATCCAGCCTAACTGGCAGGCAGCGTGGTGAGGGAACAAGTTGGCCCAAATCCTGGTTTAGCCACCTGCAAACCTTGTGGCCCCAGGAAAGTTATTCAGACACTTGGGGCTTCTGTTGCTCTCTCTGTAAAACAGGAATGCAGCTGTCTTGCAGGGTTGTTTAAAAGTAAGGTGCAAACAAAGGTGTTGTAGGGCTAGATACTTCAGATATTTTACATGAGCCACTGACTCAACTTTTGGTTATTGCTTTGATACATATGAACTGACAGGTTCCAGCACCCAATGGAATGCAAACTTCAACCAAAAGCTTTTGCCTATAAGGTGCTGAGATAAGGGCAAGACACAGATGATCAAGACCTGGTACATTTTCTCCGTGATTTAAGGTAGGAGCATACTTGTAAATATGGCAGATTTAAATAATTTTATATGAAAAAGGTATACAGTATGCTAAGGAGCTCAGCGGAAGGGGTGATTTCTGGCGTAGTCTGTTTAAGGCCTCACAGAAGAGGCCTTATGGTTGACTCAGAGTGTTCTTATCTCCTGTATGTTAGTTAGTTAATGGCCTCACTGCTCACTCATCTGCCACGCCTTTGGAAGTCACTACAACCCCTCTTGCGTTCTTTCTTTCCCCCATACAGGCAAGTGTCAGGTTCTGCTAAATTTATCTCCTGAATTTTGTTAGAATCCTGCCCCCTCCCACCTCATGCCTGCGATGATGTCATCTTTTGCTTGAATTGTTACCAGTCTTTTAACTTACCCCTTGATGTCTATCCTTGGTTGTCTTTCTAAAGCTACTATCTTACCATCCTTTGGACCCTCTCATTCAATGTGTCCCTACTTGGAACGACCTTCCATCTTCTGTTCGGTGAATTCCTATTCGTCCTCAAGATGCAGGTCAGCTATCACCCCCTCTGGAAAGTCTGTACCAATTGCTCCAGGAGAGGATGGACTCCACTAACCCTTCATGGGTGTCTCAGAGCATTTATCTCACCCCACTGAGTATTATTTTTAATCTCTGGACAGGAACTGGGTCTGATCTGCTCTTATACCTGTAGGGCTTTGGCACTCAATAAATGATTGTCGAAGGAATTAATTCTGATGCAATCAAAGACAGATTCATTACAGCGGTGACATTTGAGCGGTACCTTGAAGCAGAAGTAGAAACCATTATTACTAGTTAAATTGCTTAATTCATCTTTCCCCACTGATAGGTGGCAGGCCATTCACACGAGGCCATTATAAACCAGGGTTTCACAAGTAGCAAACACTAACTAGAGAAGGATTTAAAGAGTTGTATTGAAATTGTTCTATTTTCCTAATGTATTGTTCACTTTAAATAATAAGACGCTTCACTAGATCCTTCTGTGGCAATCATTTTAAAAACCTTTAAACTCTGCCCTAGTTTCTTTTTGAAATATCCAGCCAAACCCCAAAGGTTTTAACTGAATGTAAGCATACTAGTGTGAGAGACTCTTCCTTTTTGTGAAGACCATTCTTTCTGTGGCAACGTGGTGTGGTTCGGGAGATATGATTATTTGGTACGTGCACACAAACATGAACAGGAGGATGGGGTACCCCACAACTGTAATATGGCCGTTATCTGGGGAAGGTGGAGGGGGAATGGATAGAGAAATGGGAATCATTGCTGATATATAACATGTTAATTTGTTTTTTTTTTAAAAAGATTCTAAGCATATGATATTAACATCTATGCCCTGGCTGGTGTGGCTCAGTGGATGGAGTACTGGCCTGCAAAGCAAAAGGTTGCTGGTTCAGTTCCCAGTCAGGGCACAAGCCTGGGTTATGGGCCAGGTTCCCAGTTGGAGGCATGCGAAAGGCAACAAATGGATGTTTCTCTCCCCCTCTTTCTCCCTCCCTGCCCCTCTCTCTAAAATAAATAAATAAATAAACATTGAAAAATCTGGGTGTTTATGTTACTTTTTTATGTTTGGAATATTTTATTTAAAAAAAGAGCCTTAAGCCACGATGCAGGAAATCTGCAGTGTAGTCTGGGCCCTACCATTCCTGTTCTCGTAAGAAACATGGGCAAGAGGAGGAAGATGGGAAGACAGTCCTTAGAGATGACCTAAGTCTTTCCTAATTCTAATAAAATGTGATTCTAATCATCTAGTCATATACAAATTCTTCTATTTACATGCTTATTTGTAACAAGAATTTCATTATAGAGGCTGGTTTTGTAGAAAGAGCTCATTTGTTTAAAAATGTATTGGTGTATTTCTAAGTGTTACTTTTAAATTCACAATGTGCATTCATTTCAGTCCTTGGGGACACATTTAAGGGCTACTGTGGGCTCTGCTCATCAACATTTGAAGGTCTAAAATGTTATCATCACCGGTGAGCAATGCTTGCAGGAGCCGTGACTCGGAGATCCCATGTGTCTTCTGTCGTCCTAGGAGCCAGAGGGGCTGCTTATGCCCTCATTTAGCATTTTATAATGCACCAAAGCTTTTGCCTCCTTTTGTCCCATTTAATCCTCCCAGTAATATTGTGAACTATGGGGTAAAGGTTCTTAGTGTTTATCATGTTTACAAGTTAAACATGACACTGGAAATGAAAATACAAGAGCCAATATAGTCAAGGGGGAAAAGATCTGAGGTGACCCGACTTCTAAGTCACTTTCTAAAGGCCCATCCCCTGGGTTAACCGAAAGTCACCGTTCTTGCTTTGCTAGGGTTTATTATTATTATTATTATTATTATAATCCTTATATAAACTTAAGTGCCTCACATGGAAGAGTCTGGGAATAATTAACCTAGGCTGCCTGAAAATGGATACCATGGCAAAGCAGGGCCAGCCCAGCCAAAATGGTAGCATATGGAGACTTCCGGCCAAGATGCAGGCGAAGGCGGAAACATTGTGCCTCCTCGCACAACCAAGTTTAAAGACAACAAAGTTTTAGTAACAAAAACACAACCAAAACAAAGAAAATTGAACTGTATGGAAGTCCAACAACAACAACCATTCATCCAGACAGGTAAGAGGGGTGGAGTCAGCAGCTGGAGGAGTGGGACCGGGCAGGAAAAATCAGCCAGACCGACCCAGGAGCACGGCAGTGGTTGGCGGATCCCAGGTGTGGGGTGGCAACAGGCAGACCCAGTGAGGGCGCAAGGTGGCTGGCTGACTGCAGTCACACACTCACGCACAGATAAACCAGGTGAAGGAGCGAGGAGTGAGACCGCTCAGGCTAGGGCCCAAGCGACAGGAGTTAAAGCCTAAAAGCACCAACTGGAAAACTTTTGGGGTTGAGGTGCTGGGATAAGCTCCCAGGCTCACAGAGAGTTTGTTGGAGAGATTCACAGGGTCCTGGAGGGTTCACAGGCCCAGACACCTCAAAGCCAGCATGAGGGGGGCCCAGTTTGCTTGTGGGAAGCAGCAGTGGGGACCGAGATCCGAGAGAGAGTGTGGACCAAGTGCCATTGCCCCTCTCTGACCCCACCCGCACATACAGCATCACAACCCTGCAACTTGGTCACCCCACCCTGGTGAACACCTAAGGCTCCACCACACATATGTAACAGGTGCAAACAGACCAAAACATTATGGCTCAAGAACAGCTCAAAGACCCAGAGCCAATGATTCTAAGCAACTAAGAGATAGCCAACCTATTAGATGCACAGTTCAAACCACTGGTGAGCAAGATGCTCACAGAACTGGTTGATTTTAGTCACAAATTAGAAGAACAAATGAAGGTTAAACTAATTGAAATGAAGGGAAATGCACAGGAAACCAATAGTGATGGAAAGGAAACTGGGACTCAAATCAAGGGAATGGACCAGAAGGAAGAAAAAAAAATGACCAAACAGAAAAGAATGAAGAAACAAGAATTCAAAGAAACGAGAGGCTTAGGAACCTCCAGGACATCTTTAAACATTCCAATATCTGAATCATAGGGGTACCAGAAGGGGAAGAGGAACAGCAACAAGTGGAAAACTTATTTGAACAAATAATAAAGGAGAACTCCCTCAATCTGGCAACAAAAATAGACTTCCGGGAAGCTCAAAGAGTCCCAGAGAAGGT